CGTGCATCTCCGAAAGTAATCGGAATTTTCCAAAACGGCTTTTTGTTGGGTATTAAATCACGCAACTTTGTCATGATTTAACCGATCCTGTACTCTTAATTAGGCATAGTTTAGTTATTTTCATAATCTGGTGTGAAGAACATGAGATTGTTCTTTTATTTTAATCAAAATACAAGTGTACCCCTTTTGTCAACCTATTCAGGAAAAAATTGAATGATTGATTGTCCTTATTCCCCCAAGAAAAATTATTGTTTATAATAGGGATATATACAACAAAACATACATATAACATAATAAATCAAAACAATAATAATTGCACGATTATTGTTTTTCATAAAAAAAAATTATAAAATATAAAATGAAAATATTATTATAATCCATTCCAAGTAATCAAATTGTGAATGATTAGTAGATATGCAATTAAAATTTACTGAGAAGATTTATCTTTAAATTAATTTAAAAATTTTCTGCTTCTTCTATATTTTTCAACTCATTAGGCAAGGAGTTATATAAAATTATTCCATTATGGAATATTGATTGTTTACCAGAATTTGACTTATAATTATTTGCTATCAATAAATTAAATTGCCTTGTTTCATAATTGTAAGGAGATCTAGAAATATTCGAAAAGAATAATTATTTTCAGTTTTGAATTTTTTGAATAAATTTTTTCGAAATATCTCACACCACTTTTTGCCATTTCAGTTTACCGCCATACCAGTGATCACGTGACATGTGTCGAAATCAAATTTCATGTCATGAAACATACATAATACAGTGTCATTCATGAAGTCGGCATCATATAGGAAAAACTTTTATCAATGACTTATTTTGAAATTCGAGTTAGACGTTGAGTTTTGCTTCAAAAAGGATGAAAAATGGCCTACTCAATCGGGGTCTCGTGACTTTCGCTACATGTCAAAAGTGACATTTTTTCAAATTAATCGCTGAAAGTAGGCTTATTTGTTCGAATATCGAAAAAGTTTACTTGAAAAAGTTGTTTCTATTTCAATTTTACATATATGACTCGGATTTTATCTTTCTATTACATTTTTTAGATTTCGATATTTTTTTAAAAATTTCGCAATTTCTGCAATTTTCAAAAAATTGTAAATTCGATAAAACTACTTCATACCAGTAGCTTCATCATGCTACTTACTTTCAATTACTAATTACCACTAATTATCGACAAAAATATGATTTTCTTCAGAAAATGATAATCTCCGCTTCAAAATTGTGTTATGTTTGATGCAAAAATAACATCAAAATTCTGTTATGTTTGAATCAAGCATTTATAAACGAAATTCATTCAAATTGATTTTTTCAGTACTGAGAAGATGCCGAAGCCATCGATCAAAATATCATCGAACTACTTTACGTATCTAACCAACCTTCAGGAGTTTTACGGAATAAATGAATCTTAAATTTAATCGCTACTGGCCCAGCGATGCAACGTCTTTGATATTCAGCAATGCTGCAGGAGAGTAGGCAATAAAGAAAAATTAAATGGGTAGGCTATGATAACAACCAAATGAATTTCATTTACCTTCAAAATATTTATTGAGAATTCAAGTGACAACAGTGTAAACTCCAAAAAGAAAATTATAAACCCATTGAGTTACGGAACACAAATTGACGGCAACATTTTTGTGAGCGAAATGACAAGAGATAATTCACATTTCTGTATGTCTTCCTTCTCTTTCAATACATAGCATGGTTCTTCTGTGTACATCTTTTACTGCATTTCTAATAAAGTGAGGCCTTATATCCTCTACACATGTCCGAATGGTGTTCTCCAAATGGTCAATATCGTTAAATGGCCTGTGCTTGTAAACTTGCTGCTTCAGATGACCCCACAAGAAAAATTCCAGTGGGGTTAAGTCAGGAGAACGAGGTGGCCAGTGACGTTCCCAATTATTACCAATTATTTTACCTCTGAATGTTTCGCCGAGAAAATTTCGAACTTCTCTGGAATTGTGAATAGGTGCACCGTCCAGCTGATACCATATATCTTGAATATCTTGTACGGAAATATTGTCTAAGCTCATTTCTCAAAAAATTCAAGAATCGCGCAGCGTTCAAGTTTTCTCTGAAAAAGTATGGTCCGATAACTTTTCTGTTCAATATACCACAAAAAACATTCGTATTGAATGAGTACTGGTCACGACATTCAATAACAAAATTTTGCTTTTTCCTGAGACCACCACCTGTAATTTTGTGAGCTAACAGTTCCGTTTGAAGTGAAAGTAGCTTCATCGGTCCACAATATTTTATATGGAAATCTAAAATCTTCTTCGCACTCTCCTTGAAACCACGCTGAAAACCCATGTCGAACGAACATCAAAGTCCCTTTCTTTCAAGGTATTAATGAATTTTGGCTTGTAAGGCCTGAATCTATTTTTTTTTAGAATTTTCACTATGCTAGATTTTCCGTGCTCTATCGCATCTAAACAAATATTCAATTGCACTTCCTCATTGTTATTCATTGGATTATGTGGTTTTTTGAAATCATTTAAAATGGAACCTCTACTTTTGAATTGTGCCAGATTCTACTAACAGTCGACTGCTGAATATTTCTTTCCGGATGTAAATTAAAATCTTCAGCAACTTGTCGATGGGGTGTATTTTCTCCACACATCAAAATAATCTCAATTTTTTCTTGTATCGATAACATTCTTACATTTATTTGCTTCAAACATATAAAACCACGTATTCAACTGTCAAGCAATGATTAATATGGAATTGTTGTCATTGACTACCCATTTCATTCGTCTCCAAAGCCTACTCTCCTGCAAAATTGTCCAATTTCAAAGACGGTTCATAGCTGGGCCAGTAGCAATTATATTTAAGATAGATTTGTTCCATGAAAATACTGAATATTACTCAGATACATGAAGTAGTTCGATGATATTTGGATCGATGGCTTCGGCATCTTTTCAGTACTGAAAAAATCAATCTAAATGCATTTCGTTTCTAAATGCTTGACGATATATCAACTTTGCATCAAACATAACAGAATTTGGAAGCGAGTATTATCATTTTCTGAAGAAAATCATATTTCTGTCCATAATCGGTAATAATGAGTAATTGAAAGTTAGTAGCATGAAAAAGCTACTGGTATTAGAGTCCCTGTATGTATAATTCCCTGTATATATTTGTCAGTTTTGTTGTAATAAGAGTACGGACACTATGACAAGCAGTGACGGAAGGCATAACCCCAAATTCTCAGAATGACTTTTGAACAAAGACATGGATATGCTTTTCCATGCACTTCGGATCTTCTATCCTCTACTGCCGCGGTGAAGGGTACATCCATATATCTTTCTCTGTCTTTATTTTCATAAAGAAGTGGCGTCTCATCTCACTGGCGAAAAGGGGTCATAGTTTGTAAATCAATTTGTTGAAAGTATTTCTCGATATACTTAACAAAGGGTATATGTACTTGTTGGTTAGAATGGGGGAAATGGAATAAATGAAAGGACTCGCTTCCATTTTTGCAATTCTCCACTACACAATTAGACATTTTAATTTCTGAAAACCTGAATTTTCAAATAATTTAATGTCAAGTACGTTCATGCACTGTCAGTGCCCGCCAGATTGTTCATGTCATTTCAAATTTTAGGGTTATGCCTTCTGTCACTGCTTGTCATAGTGTCCGTACTCTTATTACAGCAAAAGTGTCAAATACATACAGGGACTCTACTGGTATGAAGTAGTTTTGTGGAATTAACAATTCTTCAAATATTACAGAAATTTCAAAAACTCAAGAGAAATATCAAAATCTAAAAGTTGCAATAGGAAGAACAAATTTGAGGAGCTTGTGTAAAATTGAAATAGAAACAACTTTTCCATTTAAATTTTTTCGATATTCGAACAAATAAGCCTACTTTCAGCGATTAATTTGAAAACATGTCACTTTTGACATGTAGCGAAAGTCACGTGACCACGATTGAATATGCCATTTTCCATCTTTTTTTCAGAAAAATCAACTATTTTCAAATATGCCAAACCATAGGTACGAAGAAACAATTATTCAATTACGTCATTTCAATGATGAAACCTTACTCAATCCTATTCAAGAAGATCTCTTTTGATTTTTCCTATCTTTATTATAAACTTTTAGTCACCCTATACACCAGATCAACACCGACTTGAAACCTCTTCAGAATGTGGATATGATTTAAGAAAAATACGAAAAATTAATATTTACTGATCTTTATATGGGAACTAATAAAAATACAATAATTCTTTATCAATTATTTGTTAGAAATACAGGTATCTATTCTCAGTTACAATAAAATATAGGCATAAAATACCATTTGGATTTTATCAAAATCATGAAACGACAAAAACAAATCAGATATAGAAACTATTTTAAACTTCACTAGCTATAATAAAAATTGCAAAACTATGTATGAAGGTGTCAACAGCAATACGTCATAAACAAATTCTAGAAATTGATGTACAAAGTCATATCGGTTTGACATTTTTTTACCTACCAAAATAAGAGGCGATTGCTATGATCAAAATTCTATGATAATTTTACAAATAAACGCAATTAAATCTAATAATTTGAACATTATTATCAATATAGACGATGATGAAAATCATGAAATAATTTCTGATTTTCACAACCACTGTACACGTACGTATCTAATTCAACAAATTGAATATAAAAAATATTTTGAACTCAAATAATATTAAATTCTGCTTCCAAAACGTCCAATCAGGGTTACAGAAAACACATTGCATATAAACAATTGAAGTGATTAGGCTGAAAACAATTTTCGTACAAGTACGAATCAAAATATACAGGGTGCCTTTTTTTTTCAAAGACTTCTGGATTGATATTGCTCTGCTTTTTTTCGCACCTAGAGGAGATTAGTATACATTCAAAGCAAGCCTTAACATTTCCATCCACATACAGGGTGGTACATATTTTGAGTACAGTAGATAAACAAATCGATAAAAGAGTTCATTTGGATATTTATCATCAGTATTCAAAATAATTACTTCAAAGCCTTTCAGCGACTGAACGAAGCATTTTCGTGTTTCAATCGTCTTATTTTGGTCTCAGGAATCCCAATCCGTGATATCATTTGGTAGAGATATTTTAGAGACACCCTGTAAACATCAATTATTTGTCATATTCTGTAGAACTAGATCCTGCCGAATGTGGTGGAAAAAAAAAACGAAATTTTCAACTCGGCAAATGATTCATTGAATAAAATGAAACTTCTGAACATATACAGCGTGTCTCACTTTAAACGGCCCCCCTTTATATCTCAGTTATTAGTCATGCGATTCCAACCCCAAATTTGGTGTGGTATAAATAACCATCAATATGATCAGTCTTACAGAGATGCACATTATTTTGGACAGTGCCGTGCGTTTTTATTGAAATAAAAAGGGGTCGATTTTTCATAAAATCATATTAGGCATTTTTTTACAGGAAATTTAACCTCATACTATTGTTCCTCATGCTTTCGAACGTCCATATGCAAAAAATTCCGAATAAACAGGATTGGCTTAATTTTTTGACTTCAAATCAACTACGAATTTGGAACGTTTAATGGCTCCGGTAGGTGGAAAATCATGATTTGGAAGGAAAAAGGAGTTTTTTTATTGAACTCACCGTTTCCGAGTAAATAATTATTACGTTCGCAAAGATGCTGTTTATATGTGCCTATTTTTCTGAAACCCTTCATAGACATCTTATGAAAATCCACATATTATGTGGGTTTGAAACCATGAAGAATAATATTATGAGGTCAGTTTTCCTGTGGAAAAATGCCTAATAGGATTTAATAAAAAACTGACCCATTTACCTACTTGGTGAAATGAGGATATTGATACTGTAACCTTTACTCAGATGTACTTTCATACAAGTGTCCAGTGTAATAAAATCTCATCAGGTGAGTTATTTGAAGTTGCGAAAATGACTTTCTGAATAAATGTTTCCTGTTACATTTTTTCAATTTCTTTTCAGGTTATACTGAATAGCATCTGGGATTATAATATGTTTGACAATTTCAGGGATGACCAGAAAGTCGTGATCGAAGAACTGATGCTATAATCACCATACAAATCATAAATTTGTCAGATATTGTTGTATAGACAGACCTTGGAATAATAAAATATTTCCAGAGCAAGAATATTTTCTGAATCAAAATTGAAACCTCAGAATATTCTATGGATACCTACAGAATATTCAAAGATTACTATTGGATGATCGATTTGGAATAATCTATAGATAGTAGAAATATTTGATGAAAAGATATTCCAAAGGTATCCCATGAATATTCTGGATTATCTAATGAATATTCTTGTTGGATATCTATAGAATATTCAAAAAGATTCCCATTTCCATGGTCCATAGAATATTCTAAAAAGAATATAAATATTTAAAGTGGGTCTAGAGAATATTCGAACATCCGAAACGGAATATTCTTAGGATGTCCATAAATTATCTAGTGCTATCTGGGTATACATTTCAATAAAAATGCACGGCACTGTCTAAAATGATGTTTGTCCCTGAAGAACTGGTCATATTGATGATGATTCATACCGATACAAATTTGGTAAAGATCGCACGCCTGATAGCTGAGATATAGATTGAAATGAGACACGCTGTATATGTTGTGGCAAAAAATATTCAGAATAACTGAAAAATTCAATACTACAAATTTTCAATTTGGAGTGTGAATTCAAAATCAACCAGACTTAATAATATAATTTGTACATTTAAGGCATAAATCTGAAGAATCAGAATCCTGAATCCATTTTGATAACTCAAATGTGAAAACCCTGGAATGTGCAGGTACCATTCCATTAGTTATTTGTTTTACTAGGCAGCAAAGTAGTAGCTTGACTGCCGTGTGAAACATATAATTTTTTCTCCAAATTTCACTAATTTCGTGTAATTTTAACATTGAAAACTCTATCATTCCATCATTTTGTGTTCACCCATTGTCAGCGTCATTTTGAGTACTAATTTCATTCAAATTACTTGGAACGTCGCATAGCAACAAACTTTTCCTGTCTAGGCAGAGAAAGTACACCTTTGCTGCCTGTTAAGTGTCACAGGAAAGACACTTTCTTTGTCGTTTAAAGAGAAAATATTTTTCGCCCAAGTATGAATTCAACATTTTGTACCAGACGGGAAAAGTCAACCTGCCACGTCAACAGAAAAAAATCGACACGGAGTCCACAACTTCTTTGAATAAAATGAAAATCCAGACATTTTCCAATAGTGTCGCTAGTGTACAGGGTGCGCCACTTGAAATGGAACACCTTCTTAACTCTTTTGTTTTCAGAGATATGAAAAAATGTTGAATGAAGAAGTTTTTTGAAATGACCCAAGCTTACATTTCGTGAATTTTTTCAATAGAATACCCTGTACATATTCCGGCATGTCGCCTCCTTTTCTGATCTGGAAAATATATATGAGTTTCATATTTGGATTGAAAATAGATGAGTTATTGATGATCAAAATTTATCAAAATTTATCAAAATACCGCTTTATGAACCTTCACTTCATATCATCGAATAATGTGAGTGTTGAACATAGTGGGCTTAAAAATAATGTTTATACATTGTTTGGGCTCTTCGGAAATGTCATGTTATTGTTTATTATGGAATTGAAATCTTTCAATCTCAATTCAAAAAAATATTAATGGAAGATGCGTTATTTTGGTAAACTTTGATCAGCAATAACTCAATTATTTTCCATTCAAATATTCAATTCATATATATTTTTGAAATCAGAAAAAAAAGCTTTATCGACATGTCAGAGAATATATAGGGTGTTCCATTGAAAAGATCGAAGTTAATGTCCTTTCCGCAAAAAACGAATGACCCTGTATATGAAGCAACCTCTTGAAACAAGAGATTGGGTCGTTTCAAACAACTTTTTCCTTTGACATTTTCTCACATCTCTGGAAACAAAAGAGTTAAGGGAGGGTATGATTCTAAGAGGCGCACCCTGTACAGCGTATCCCATTTTGCCAGGTTTCTCGGTCGTTATTGAAGATTGAGCCTTGCGGTTAACATGTTCCTGTCCCACTTTTTTGTGAAACTTAAAATGACCGAATCAGATGTTGAATAACTGTTTCCATTTATACAGGGTGATTTTGAAAATACATACTTTTTGGACCACTTCTATATCTACGTAATTATAATGAATGGTGATGCGCTAAGAACTATGTCTAACAGAGGATTTTGTGCAGAATCCAGTAGCGTACTCAAAAAATTTTTCCGGGGTCTAATTTTGGAGATATGACACAAACTTATATATTTTTCAATAGAATATTCTGTATTTCACTATTTCGTTGGATTCGTTATTTTTTTCCCTTCATAATGATAAGTAATACTTTTAACATAGGATCTCCAGAAAAGCTAAAAAAACACTCCAGAACATTGAATTATTATAAAATTTTGCTAGTGGGCTGTGTGTCATATTAAATAAAGTATAATTTGAAGAATTCTCACTTGTGATGTTTTTGTTAAGAGATAAGGCAAAAATTCTTCAGAATTTAATGTTTTAGTGTTTATCAGCTTTTATGGAGACCCTATGTATGGAGTATTATACATCATTCAGAAGATAAAAAGAAAAGGGAATTCAACGATATAATAAGGTGGTTCCATTGAACAATCTGTAAGTTCGTGACGTATCTCCAAAACCGAACCCCGAAAAAATTTCTGAGTACGACACTGGATTCTGTGCAAAATTATCTGTTAGAAAGTTCTTAGCGCAACATGACTCCGTATAACTCTGTAGATAAAGAAGGGGTCTAGAAAAAATATGAAATTACAAAATCGTCCTGTACCTCATATACGGACACAGTTATCCAAAATCTGATTAGGCCATCTTGGATCTCACCAAAAAAGTAGGACAGGAAAGTGAAAACCGCAAGGATCTATCTTCAATAACAATGCACTGTATAGTACAAATTTTTAATGTGAATTCAAGTGTGAACCAACTAGAACTAGAGTAATACATTATGTACACTTAAGAATCAGAATTCTGAATCAATTTCAAAAACTTAAATGTGAAAATCTCGAATTTTGTACGATTTTACGCCAAGACGATAATAAAAAAATGAATGATACAAATTGAAAAACCGGAAATTATAGTCTACGAGACAGATCCCCTTTTTTAAATGATTACCACTCCTCTATAACGGCTTGTGTGGTTGGTTTCCTTTCGACAAATCTTGTAGAACGGGGCGTTACTTCAAGACATATCAAAAATAACTGTCGAATCCAAACGCTTCATAATTTCAGATGGTCGAAATGGAAACATGACACAACAAACAACTTCAATATGTCATTTCAAAAATATTTTTCGACGAATCGGATTAAAACATCTCGTTGATAACAACTTCAGGGATGGTGGATGCGCCAAAATATTTGTTTGCGTTCATTATTCAATTATCCTACAAGTGCATTGATCCTGAAAACAAAGTGAAGATCATTCAATTTCAATACCTTACTAAATTGACGCTGTTTACTGAAACGTTAGTAGAGTCGTCCATAAAAAATCCACACAACACACACCCTCACACCTACAAGAAGCAATAATCATTTCTGAAAAGGGTACCTTCACTGTGTACTATCAACGTCCAACAAACAAGTCAATCAAGTTTGTACCTCTCACGTCAATAAATAAAATAAAACCGGCACAGAGTCCGCAACTCCTCATGAAAAATCTACCTCACTCCTAATGTCTAATGTGTACAGGGTGGCCAACTAAGACTCCAGAGTTCGATTTCTCTGTTGTCTTGAGAGATACAAAAAAAAAGTCATGTATCAAAATTGAAGTAATAATCGAGCTTCACATTCCAAAATTTCTTTGAAATACACAGGGTGTTCCGTAAGGCCACAGCACACCAAAGCTATGTTTTTTTCATTGGAGCACCCTAAATTTTATTTCATTCACGAATTCTTCCTGAAGATCTGATTTCAACGACCTATCATATTTCGGGTCTAGCAGTGAAAGTTACTGACATAGAGGGTGTGCAAAATCGAGATTATCCAAGTTCAGAATTTTTTTCTGTCGAAACTGTTCATTATTCGTCAAAACGGTTTACATGTCCCTATCTCAAATTTTCACTCACTATCAATTGGTGTTCAATTGAAATTGATACAAGGTGGTCAAAAAATCTCAATTTATAATTTGTTCCAATTAAATGTCAATTGAACACCAATTGATAGTGAGTGAAAAGTTGAGATAGGGACATGTAAACCGTTTTGACGAATAATGAACAGTTTCGACAGAAAAAAATCCTGAACTTGGAAAATCTCGATTTAGCACACCCTATATGTCAGTAACTTTCACTGCTAGACCCTAGGTATGATACGTCGTTGAAATCAGATCGTCAGGGAGAATTCAAAAATGAAATAAAATATAGGGTGTTCCGATGAAAAAAACATAGCTTTGATGTGTTGTGACCTTACGGAACACCCTGTGTATTTCAAAGAAATTTTGAAATGTGAAGCTCGGTTATCACTTTAATTTGAATGCAAAACTTTTTTTGTATCTCTCAAGACAACAGAGGTATCGAACTCTGGATTCTTAGTTGGCCACCCTGTACAATACGCGTCCTGCCCGTCGTAACCCGATCTCCTCGTATGTTTATAATTGTTGTCATCAGCATCCAAATTTTCAACTCACAATGTGATGATCCATTGGATAAAATGAAACTTCTAATCAGATACTTTGCCATATGCTACTTATATCAAACATTTTTATTTTGGAGTGTATATCAATGAAACTAATATGTTTGTACATTTAGGGCATAAAACTAAAGAATCAGAATTCTGACTCAATTCTGAAAACTCAAATGTAAAAACTTTGAAATTTTGAAATATTTTTTTATTCAGTGCAAGTGATAAGAATGGATTCAAATTGAAATACCGAAAATCATAGTCCACGATACCGGCGCCCCCTATTTTGCAATGATTACCATTCCTTTGTAAATAAATGTGTGGTAGTTGGCTTCCATTTGACAAGTTTATGAACATTTTCATTTACAAAAATTCTTGTGAATCGGGGCATTTTTTAGTGATATATTGAAAACCAACCAAGATAATTCAAGATAATCGGGTAACAAACGAGTCCGACAAACAGTTGGGACATGCAGCGAGTTCACCATCCCTAAAGTTGTCAAAATGATAGAAATTCAATACTAACCAGCCGATTTTTTTAGGCTTGTTCTGAAACCACAAGCTGAAATATTCAGCCGATCTGAAATAAAAATGTGGATGAACTCGTCAAAACGAACAAACACAACACACACCCTCACACCCACAGGAAGCAATAATCATTTCTGGAAAGTGTTCCCTCACCGTGTACCACTATCAATGTCTAACAAACAAGTCAATCAAGTTTGTACAACCTCTCACGTCAATAAAAAAAAACCGGCACACAGAGTCCGCAACTCCTCCTTATACAAAAATCTACCTCACTCTCTCCTAATGCCTCGTCCTCATGTATATACAAGACGCGTCCTGTCCGTCGTACCCCGACCGCCTTGTATGTTTATAAATTTTGTCATCATCATCAACATTTTTCAACTCACAATTTGATCCATTGGATAAAATGAAACTTCTAATCAGATACTTTGCAATATGCATCAAACATTTTCATTGTGGAGTGTATATCAACTAGACTAATATGTTTGTACATTTGAGGCATATATCTAAAGAATCAGAGTTCTGAATCAGTTTGGAAAACTAAAATGTAAAAATTTTGACGATTGAAAAATTTTTTTGGTCAGTGCCAGTAAGTGATAACAATGAATTCGAATTGAAAAACCGGAAATTATAGTCTACGAGACAAACCCCTTTTTTTAAAATGATTACCATTCCTTTGTAACTCCATGTGTGGTAGTTGGTTTCCATTTGACAAGTTTATGAACATTTTCATTTGCAAAAATTCTTGTGAATCGGGGCATTTTTTAGTGATATATCGAAAATGAATCAAGATAATTGGGTAACAAACGAGTCCGACAAAAAGTTGGGACATGCAGCAAGTTCACCATCCCGAAAGTTGTCATAATGATAGTAATTCAATACTAACCAGCCGATTTTTCTTTGAAATTGTTCTAAAATCACAAGCTGAAACAGTCTGACAAAGATTGTGGCTCAAACTTCCACTCCGCCGATCTGAAATTAAAATGTTGGTCAACTCGTCAAAACGAACAAACACAACACACACCCTCACACCCACAAGAAGCAATAATCATTTCTGAAAAGGGTACCTTCACTGTGTACTATCAACGTCCAACAAACAAGTCAATCAAGTTTGTACAACCTCTCACGTCAATAATAAAAAAAAAACCGGCACACAGAGTCCGCAACGCCTCCTTATAAAAAATCTACCTCACTCTCTCCTAATGCCTCGTCCTCATGTATATACAAGACGCGTCCTGCCCGTCGTACCCCGACCGCCTCGTATGTTTTAAAACCTCATTAGCAGCCGACGTCATCGACAAAGGCTGCTTGAGCTGATCGGCCAGGTCCAGCGCCAGCTTCATGTCCTTCTGCATGTGCTCGACGGCCTGCTGCACCTGCTTGAAGTTCTTGTGGACCATCAGGTCGGCCTTGGAGCTGAGATAGTTGCAGGAGAGGCCGGTCAGGTTGAAGATGTTGAGAACGTCGCGGGAGCTGATGCCGCAGCGGTCGGCCATAGCCAAACCTTATGATGATAATATTGATTCATCATTTATTTTATTTATTTATTTATCAAACATATCTTCCAGTCAGAACAAGTTCTGGTATGAGGAAGACCGTAATTATAAAATAATAAGTAATTAATACCTATGAACTAATACACAAACATGAGTAGATGATATCAATTACTACGAGAATGAGTCTTTTCAGTCATTTCTAGATGAAATTTATCTCGATGTATATGCCTCTGGAATACCTCAAAATAATTCTTGAGATTTTTTGTTCCATCGAAATATTAAAAACTCCAAGATGAACGAGCGAATTCAAAAGATCCGACATGGTTGCGAAACGTGCGTAAGTTGAAAAATATTCGATTGTGAGGATAGGTTAGATGGATGAAATTGAAAATTTTCAAATACTGTCTTTAGGTTGATCGAGGTGGTACATTCATTATACCAGATTTTTTGGGATTGTCTCTCCTCGTTTCTATAAAATAAAAATATGAATATTTCAATATACGTGTAGTAAGGACAAATCAGATGATGCGTTTAAAGAATTTTCCTATCAGAGAGCCTAAAAGAAAAATTCACTAGCTTGTCAGTGACAATTTGTATTGAAAAAGGTTTGGAGAAGAGAAATAAAGGAATATAGAAAAAATATCAAGAAACTGGTAAATTCAAGATTAATTAATGAAAACATCCTGTAACTCATTTGATTGCCAACGTCACCAATTGTCACTGAGAACCGAAAAGTTTCAAGACAAATACGAGTTCCTGAAACGTCCAATGCTAAGTGGAAATTTGATATTTTTTCTATATACCTTTATTTTTCTTGTCCAAACCATTTTCTATACAAATTGTTACTGACAAGATATTGAATTTTTCTTTTAGGCTCTCTGATCGGAAAATTCTTTGAACACAGTAAAAATTTTGGGACAAATCGTCTGATTTGTCCTTACTACACGTATATTGGAGTAATATTCATATTTTTATTTTATTGAAACGAGGAGAGATCACAAAAAATCTGGAAAAATAAATCGACAATTTTTACTCAATTCCATTGAAAAACTTTCAAGAATTTCGATGGTAGGTTATGTTAGGTCAGGTTAGCTTGAAATATATTCAATGGTTCCGAGGATTGGTTATATAGATGGGTTCACACACCAGCAAACATTTTCTATATTTTCTAAATCATCATTTCCTGAAGCCACCAATGACTGAAAAAATCTCAAAAAATCAAAACCAATCAATTCTTCACCTTAAATTTCTCACGGAAAATAGGTTAAAATGTGAAAAAAGAACATTGACTTACACATATTAGGCAGAAGTAATTTAGGAAAATGCGATTGAAAAAACTCAAAATATCGAAACTGAACAATTCTTCTTCTTTTGTAAAAACTTCACAAACGATAAGATTTTCACAGAATTCTCAAACACAAGCTAACACAGTAGCTTCGTCAGGTGATATACTGGTACAATGAACTAAACCGGTTTAGTTCAGAGTTGTTACATTACATAGCTCGAAATGGTTAATTTCCACACTCAAAACAAACTTATGTAGTGATTGTAGTTATTGTACTCACTCATCTAACAATGATGATGATTTTTGATCACAGACCTTTATATCATCAATTATATAATTCAGATCAATAGTGTAACAAATCCGAACAAAATCATTTTTACCATTTTTTTTTCTTCTAAATTTGTTGAAGTAAATAGAAAACTACTATGGCAGGGCTATTATTTTATATTTTTGGGACATAATCAACGAAATTAGATTCAAATTATTATGAGCTGAATTTTCAATTGCGATTTTCTCGATACTCCGATTTTTGAGATGTTACACTATTGAACTATGGTATCGATATGTACAAGTTTCCGCTATTATCCCCACCATTCGCGATTCCGTTCATTTATCCGTGATTGGCGTATACTTTTCATTTATTTATTTTATGTTGTTATTTAGTCTGATGACATCTTACCTTCAGCTAGTCCAACCAGGGCTATGCCCTTTATCAGCTGCAGTATCAAGTTGGTCTTGGTGGCGTAGCCGACGTCGCCGAGGAAGAAGGCCGTCTTTCCCATGGCCTTGAAGCAGGATTGGCAATCAATGAAGAGGGTCTTGTCGCCGGCCGTCAGGACGACGAGGCTGCCCTCGTTCGCCTCAGCTTTGCTACCTGAAGGGCGGCGGGGAAAAACTCTTTTTTTATTTTTTGTAATTTAGGGTAATTTTGCACATATCATCGGATTCACTTTTTTTCGAATACTTTTTTGTTATCTACGTCACAGTTTGATCCTTAAAAATTTCAGGCAATTTTCCTCGAACCCAATCAGGCAAACCAGGTTAACTTTATTATGATATAACGGTTTACTTGTTGAGCTTGCCAGAAGTCAGTTCGTTAGTTGTTATCCATTTAATGAAAACATATTTCCCGATTTGGTTTTAGTAATAATATATTGAATAAGAAATCCCTCATTTGTAACAGAAAGATACAATAGATAGGTATTAGAGGTATTAGATACCATGTTACCTTTTTCAAATCTAAGAATATTTGATCAATTAGCTATTTTCAATAATAGAATTATTTCTCTTTCGTCAGTATTATTATGATTAGATCTAAGATCTTTCATTCACAAATATTTCGTATTCGTATGAATCCATTATCAACCCAATTAAAATAATAACAACAAGACAGATAAACAAGAGCCCAATCCAGTGACCAATCAGAAACCTTAACTACTCCATGTACTACCTCAGTGAGCAGGTTTGTGTGGTTGGTTAACTATAACGTCATAGTTTGGAATACACTTCGAGAAGAATTGACTAGTTAACTTATTGGTGGTGTGGTAAACTTCGAGGAAAAATGGCTTGGCTTGTATCCACATCGAATCTCGCCCAGGCATCTGAATTTTGATTTTGCAATCCTAAACCGTTAATGTAATTCATGGTCAAGTCACTGGATAGCTAAAAATCTGATGAGTATCTCCTATGCAGTATGGAGTAAGGAATTTGCGCCTTCGAAGTACCCACCTGAAGATAGTTCAGATATTTTCCATTTTCATTTCATCATCTAAATAATCCGATACCTAGGAGTCCTAATATATGTATTCTAATAACTAAGTAATATCCAAGGTACTGACGTTTAGAGAGTTTCTTGTCAGATTATAAAATATGTATTTTTTTGTATACCTTGTATATTTGGAGAGATATTGAATCATTGTCAATATGAGTGAAATCTGTATAAAAAATTGAATGAAATCAGCTTTAAATATTTTTGAATGAGTGGAAAACGAAAAAGATAAAGAGGGGTTTACATTAATAAAACTAGCCCTGCACCTAGTTCCTATATTATGATATATTTTTCTTACAGATGATGAATTTCTTATTCAATTATTAGTATCACTACTATAACCAACCAAATGGATAAAAACAATTTAGAAACTAGCATCTGTCCAGCTTCACAATGAAACCGTGACGCCATAAACAAGTTACCGTGACGTCATAATAAACTTAACCTACAGGAAGATTATGTTTCACGAATCGAGTCGAATCGACCATTTTTATTCGATATTTGGTATTCGTTTTCTCGAATGAATTGTGTTAACTTGATTCGATTCATCGATAGCTCAAGAGGAGTCGAATTGATGAATCTGACCTTATCTTTCATGGAATATTTTTCTTTTTTCTTTTTATCTTAATCACAATTTAAGGTAGGGTCATCTTGTCTATTTGAAAGTGTGTAACCAACTATTTAATATTATTACTTCAAACATAATTCATTTTCGATGTCGTTCAAACTCAGAGATGCCCACAGAGAAATATCAATAGGTTTACTCGTGTTCCGAATTGTTGAAACGGTCTTTGGACTGCGCAGAATCAGGTGGGCATCAAATTCAATCCGCTCCGCCTAGCTAATGCAAAATTCGCTTGTCAAACAAAGTGTCACCTTTGATCTACTATGGGTTGCGTGCAAGAACTGTCAGATGACCGACCCTGGAGGCAAAATATTGAAACACAAACGTCACTTTACTTATTTGTTTACAAGTGATTGAAATAGTTTTTCACAATTATTTTGGCATACAAATCGTATTTTTCCGCTATTCATCAATTCGCTCATGCCATCACATTATGCTGTTGTGAAATGCACAAAAACTGCAGCGGAAGACGAAGTAATCCGGTTGGTACAATATAATTCAAAAGTAAGTACCTACTATAGTCACTCACATAAATAGTATTCATTTTTGAAATTTGGTAATTTCTCTGATTTCTCATCGCAATTCTTTCTGCGATAGAAGCTAATAGAAATACATCTGAAATTTCTAAAATAATGCCAGGAAATTGATCTGAAATTTCTAAAATAATGCCAGAAAATTGGATTCATGCAATCAATCGGGAGGACTGGTCTGACATGCTGACGATCGTGTGTGTTGTAGACATTTTCAATCTATTAGCAGTATTAGCTTGTATTGCAGAAATGACAGAAGGCAGAAGGAATTTTAATAAGGAATGACAACATTTCATAATGATAACTATGTGAGATTACTATTTACCTGAAAAATCATATTCTTTAGTCTCTTGCTGCATTTTTTGTGCATTGTACAACAGCACAATGCGAAGGCATGCTCGAATTAATGAATAGCGCAGAAAACACGATCCGTATGCCAAAATATTTTGAAAAACTAGTTCAATCCTTTGATTCCTCTGTAACCAAGTAAAAAAGTGAGGTTGTGTTTCAATAATTCACAGAAGAATGAGGTTGTGTTTCAATATTTTGCCTCCAGGGTCGGTCTTCGTGCACGCGACCTATTGAAACTTCCAACACGTCACAACTACAACTCACCTTGCACTTGCGCCTCGAGATACCGCCCGCCCTTGCTCTTGATGATCTCGCAGATGTCCTTGGACGTCTGCGGGTCGATGCCCGTCATCTCGACGTACCCTTTGCCTTCGAGAGAGTCGTCGTCGCGACCCAAGACGCCGCAGTTGCCGATCACGTTCTGCAAGAGAGAGAAACGAGCCAGGTTCAGACCCCGAGATCGTCGGAAATCCTTTACGCCAAACATCCGCGCGGACCCATCAAAAAGTGCCAAAGTTGAGCTTGACATCACAATACTTTCACCTTTTACTCTATTTTACAGGGTACTTCGAAATACAGACAAAAAAACAGTCCAGAAATAGTCGCTTCTAAGGGGGTTATTGCCATTTGAAGGCGGAACATGAAAATCATCCGTATCTCAAAATGGTCCAACGTAATTTCAGAAGAAAAACGATTAGAACAAAGTCGGTCGACCACACTATATAAAACACAACATCAATAACATGTTACCGCTTTCGGCATAACGGCCATCATCAGACAAAAAAGTACATTCGTGTTCAATGAAAAAGCGTACAAGTTTCAAAAAGGTAGGTCTACGGCATCCTAGTTTTAGTTGTGTAATACTGGCTCAGCCAATGCTTTGTGTTTTATACATTCTTCTTCTGATTTTTATTTCGTTTTATCGATATGGACGATTGAACAGAGCAAAAACTCATCATACCTATATTCATACTAGATTCGCTTTATACCGGGTATCCAATTTGTGTTTGCCAGGCACCAGAATACGTAAGTACGAAAAAAATATATAAAATTGAAAAAATACCGATCAATGTTCAAGTGGAAATTTTCAATAACACCAGTAAAAAAATGTGCTACTTACTTCTCTTGCAGATCGAGGGTCTGTCACACAACTGAATATGATGTCGGAGTTCCGCATTACATCGCATGGTGTAATGTAGGTTTTCACTAAACCTACCTTGATTCTGTCCGCCCATTCTTTGAGTTCTTCACACTGAAAAAAAAATTGAATAGAATGACCTGTAGATAATGCCTCATAGTTTCCAATAAACTGAATTTGCTCCTCAATCTTCAATACAAATATCAAATATATGAGATAAGTGCCAAATAGAAACGAAACAATAAAAATATGCTATGGAAGTATGGAAAGACATTCATTACAAAATACGGCGAGTACTCAGTGCAGTGTCACGTTGAAAGATACCACTTTTCTAGAGACTTCCGAGCTGTGGGTTCACAAGGGTCGAAGGAAAAATAACTCCATTTCAGGCGACCAGGGCCGGACTGAAGGTACAAAACGTGTCGGGCGTATTTTCCAAAGCAGGCCAATTTACCTGTCAAAAAGTGTGTGTTGCAGGCATTTTTTTTTCTCAAATTTCAAGGTCGACTGCTCAATATATGCAATGTTAAAATATTCACCACCAAAAATATCGAGACTTCGTCAAGTAGTTGTTTTTTTATAAAAGATAGATGAAACAGAATAAATACACTGCTTTGATATCAAGAAAAATAAACAAAATATAATAAAACTGGTGAACATAAAAGAGGTCCGTTTTTTTTTGTTCAAGGTCAAATACCTTCAAATTGATAGTTAGGTTTGTCAGAGGGGTATCATAAGGGTGGGTAAAAATGATTTCAAATTCACCTGAGAATTTAAATTTCCTAATAGCAACAAATATCGAATTTAAATGACAAGTTTACTTCGACCTAAAAAAATGTTTGAGTGTTATTCGTAAAGACAATTTAATGAATACGTAAATCACATTATTGTTGATGGTTTTTCAATTTCTCCACTCGAAGACTCTCCAAATCGCGACATTTCCACAGATTAGATACTTTTCTGACAAAGCAAATTTGGGAAAAAATTACATAAAAACCATCAAAGATTTGTTTACAGTTTTGGTTGTCATGCATTCAAATGTTGAATTTCCGTTCTGTTGCTGGAAAAGTTAGGGTAAAATTTTTTCGTCGTCATAATGACAAAATCACAGCGGCTTACGGGATGTTATGTACATAAATTGAATTGTCACGATGAAAAAATACATTCCACGCTGCAATTCTTATCATTCTTTGACGTATAATGGCCTCGGCTGACGCCTACATTTACGCCCTTGATACATAAATAACTATTTCAGAAGATATTAATATGAAAGCCTCCTTATCTTGAGACAGACAGTTTCATACTCTATTCAAAATTGATTTTAATTTAGAAATGTACTATAGTTACATGCAACTTGTGAAATATCTTTTTCCAGGCCATCGGGCGATCGCCTGACCGACCAGTCCGGCCCTGCAAGCGACATTTTTTGTTAGTCTGTACATGATAGTTATTTTTGTATCTAGAGCACTTCGTTAAAAAAATCGATTCCCGATCACCAAAGTATTTCACGCACGAGTTGCAAACATTTTTCCTACAAACGTCAAAAAATATACTTTTGAAGTAGCAATACACTTAGCTTGATATGAACGTCCAAAATCTCAAAGAAAAATGCAACACCTACCTCCTCTCCCTATCCTCCCTAGGTAAACGCACGATGTTCTTTGAGCATCATAGGAATTTCCTTTCGTGCGCTCCAAGAGATAAAAAAGTATCATAGAAAGATTAACTCAATTTTCAGATTTACTGGACTACCGACGTAAATAAATGAGCATCGAGAAATGCTATGAAATTATTAATTTTTGTTATTCCAAATTTTTGGTATTTTCTCTCCTCGTTTCTATAAAATAAAAATATGAATATTATTTCAATATACGTGTAGTAAGGACAAATCAGATGATTTGCCCCAAAATGTCACTGCGTTTAAAGAATTTTCCTATCAGAGAGCCTAAAAGAAAAATTCACTAGCTTGTCAGTGACAATTTGTATTGAAAATATTTTTGGAGAAGGGAAATAAAGGTATATAGAAAAAATATCAAATTTTCACTTATCTTTGGACGTTTCGGGACCGGTTCTGCTCCCGTTTTCAACATGAGAAGAGATTATTTCAATAGCGAAGTCGTATAATGTCTTGAAGCTTTTCAGTTTTCAATGACAATTGGTGACGTTGGCAATCAAATGAGTTACAGGATGTTTTCATTAATTGATCTTGAATTTACCATTTTCATGTTCAGATTTTAGTAGTGAATACCATGTTCTGTCTATATCAACTGAACAAGAAGCAATGCTATTGTCTCCGTTCAGAAGAATGCAAGCAGATTCCTTGATTTTTCTCTTCTGGTTGTTATCTTCTTTTCCAATAATTTTAATATTATTCCATTCTGTCTGTTCTGTTCTGTTCTCCGTCTTCAGTAAGGATATGTTCAGCTAGTTTCGATTTATCGATGTTTCTTTTCTTTATATTGTACTTATGTTCCTTCGTCCTTACTGAAAGAGGTCTCTTGGTTTCACCTTGTGTTTGTGGAAAGTTTTATACAGGTGAAACCAAGAGACCTCTTTCAGTAAGGACGAAGGAACATAAGTACAATATAAAGAAAAGAAACATCGATAAATCGAAACTAGCTGAACATATCCTTACTGAAGACGGACAACATATGGCAGAATGGAATAATATTAAAATTATTGGAAAAGAAGATAACCAGAAGAGAAAAATTAAGGAATCTGCTTGCATTCTTCTGAACGGAGACAATAGCATTGCTTCTTGTTCAGTTGATATAGACAGAACATGGTATTCACTACTAAAATCTGAACATGAAAATGGTAAATTCAAGATCAATTAATGAAAACATCCTGTAACTCATTTGATTGCCAACGTCACCAATTGTCATTGAAAACTGAAAAGCTTCAAGACATTATACGACTTCGCTATTGAAATAATCTCTTCTCATGTTGAAAACGGGAGCAGAACCGGTCCCGAAACGTCCAAAGATAAGTGAAAATTTGATATTTTTTCTATATACCTTTATTTCCCTTCTCCAAAAATTTTTTCAATACAAATTGTCACTGACAAGCTAGTGAATTTTTCTTTTAGGCTCTCTGATAGGAAAATTCTTTAAACGCAGTGACATTTTGGGGCAAATCATCTGATTTGTCCTTACTACACGTATATTGAAATAATATTCATATCTTTATTTTATAGAAACGAGGAGAGAAAATCCCAAAAATTTGGAATAATGAATATACCACCTCCTCGATTAACCTACAGACAGTAATTAATTTTTGTATTTCCTACTTACCTATGCAATGAATTCTGTTGCGCTACTGACTTTGCTCTGCATGAGGCTCTTATCTCCGATACAAAATGACATGTGCTTATGATATTCTAACGATTCCTAATTTATTTTTATAGTTTCTGTATCCCTAGTGAGGTTATCAACACTTTGGTGACTATTTATATTTATCATGAATAATTGGAAAAGCTAAATACATAAGAGGCACCTATATACCTAGAATTTACACGAATTTCAATCCAAACTGATGTTGCTTTTCATGAGTGTTCGGTCTAATCGATATATTTGTATCAAAAATAGTAACAACATAATTTTCTGTGTTATCTAAATACAGATTTACTTTTAGATGCATTATGAGCCAAATATTATGAATGGGTCTCCTTCCAAGTAGGACTTCACTTGAATAACAAATCAAGGGGGAATCCTTGATTGTTTTTTTGAGGACATAATTTCAGTTTTTCAAGACATACAGTGTTTACCATTTCCAATAATTGTCGCAATATTTATGCCAACAGTGGTAATTGCCTCTGAGATTTAATGTGAACCACTTTACATTCTTCATTGCTGTGCAATAATTTTTCAAGGACAGAGACCAAAGTTTGTTCAATATTTGCTTATCACGCGACACCAAAATTATGACTTGTGCGATAAAAGGCAAGTAGATGTCGTAAATATTCTTTAAATCAGAGAAATTGATGTTTTGTTAGATATCAATCAACCCCATTAGATTATTCGAAGATAAATTTGTTGAATGAGCCAACGAAAAAAGTTTGAGTAAATATTTATGGCACCGTAAAGTCTGGTATCTTCATTAGTTTGAACTAGGTATGGGGTATGAGGCTTATATAAATGCAATAACAATGGAATGTCGTAATCTAGGTACACCAACTTTCATGACACAACAATATTTATACCTACCTACCTACTGTTCTAAATCTCGCTTGTTCATCAACACTTTGTTGGAATTGAATTGACTACAAAAATGAAACATTCCGCCAGTCAGATCAAAATAGATCGAGAAATCAAAACCTACCTATAAGCTTCATATTCCAAATTCCAACACAATATTGCATCATTCAAAGACCACAGACATAAATAATGGGGTAACAGCTTGAATAACCATGAAATCTTTGTTCGATACACCAACACGCAAGAAAGCCGTTTATGCTTTCTGATCAATACAATTTGGCAACTCTGTCCCATAACTGTATCCATATCGATTATACCAGTTCCAGTTAGAAGTCTGGCCACTTCATTTCAGTCAGGGACGATTGAATAGATTCCGGCATTTAGTTTCAAAAATTTCGCACAATATTTTATTCGAGATCATCATTATAGGAATATTTGGTTCTTTACGATGTCAAATGACGATATTCAAAGGTTGACAAGTTGTATTTTGTTACAACAGTTGAATAAACACCAGTGGCGTAGCCAAGGGGGCTTCCCACTCCCGAAATATGCGACTATTTTTTTTATCCCTTGAACAGATCATCGCTCAAATACCTTTCGATTTCATATATTTTTTACAATTTTTCGGTCGATTTTAACCCGGCGTCACCCAGGTGGAAAATCTGTACATCCTCACCCAGATGGGGTCTGATGTACCCTATAATTAGAAACTCGAGGAAAAAAAATCAATAGGAATATTTCCAGATTTGTATGTGAAATGGTTTTTTTGGTGTATTCACTTCATGATTATAAACAGCAATATGTTGACATTCGACATCTTGTATTTGGATTGATTATTGATTGATTAACTGGCCGTCATCTGGTATGATTGTTCACTGAATATGAAAAACTCGCCATAAAAATCATATTTCGTGTTGAATTTTCTATATAAAAATGTGTCATTCAAGTACATCATGAGTATATAAATGCATCCAAGACAGGTGTAAATTCATCCAAGACAGGGGGAAAAAAAGGCGAAATTTCGAAATTTTTCTTGAAATATCTCGATAAATAGTGTGGTTTGTTCACATTTTCATTATTAAATTCGTGTTTTTCAGACAAAAATACGTAAACACCAACAAAATTTGACAAAAAGAAACCCATCTCATGATAAATGCAATTTTACCACGAATTGCATTCGTGCATAAAGATGACCAGATGATTTTGCATTGAAGTGTGTTTTCTAATACAAATTGCATTCGGTTATTTTCATATTTTGTAAAAGAGCCCTCCTCCTTCGAACTGCTCTTTCGCCAAAATATGAAAATAACCTCTTACAGTTTTCAGATAACAGGCTTTCTTGCAAAATTATCGGTTTTATGCACTTGTGCAATTATATCGAATATTTCCCGAGATATTTTTCTCTTATATAAAATGTCCCATAGTAGCGATGCAATTATCGAAATCTTACAGGGGTAATTATTGCATTGCAGAGCGGATATTGCACTGCCAGAACGAATAAATGTCAGAAAGACTTCAAAAAGTGAAAAACATGTCCCATTTTGGTGAGTGCTCTCCATACACCTATCGATAATTTCATTATTCGTGAAATATTCCAATGAATTACATTCGTGCCAAAAAATGACCAGATAATTTTGCATTCAAGCGTGTTAACTTATGCAAATTGCATTTGTTTATTTTCATATTCTGGCGAATGAGCCCCAGTCCGAAGGAGGAGAGTTCTTTCGCCAAAATATAATTTTTTTTTGCAATTTTTAGATAACACGCTTTCTTGCAAAATTATCGGTTATTTTAATGAAGCCATGCTTATAACCGAAAATGATATCCTAACCTTAAAACCATACCATTGAAGCTTATATGTACCTACCAGTGGCTTGAAATTTTATTTTTTCTGAAGGGAAAAAGTTTGAAATTTCATCTCTGTTGACAGGTTATGAAATGCCACATTTCATAAATTACTTTTATCCCACGGAAAAAAGTGAGTTATTTTTTTCCGGAAATATATAACATATATATATACACTGTTGATGGCATTTGTTGTGCTATAGTTCCGAAAACTAAGCCAATAACACCCGTCTCCGAGAAAGAACTGCAAGTCATTTCATCTTCCATTCGACTTCGCGGTTACGTAAATTACTAAACAACCACTAAAAGCACAATTTTTGAAAATCAAATCACAGAATTAGACTAACAGATATTTGATTACTTCAAAAGAATGATGAAGATGCTGATTCTGATTTTAATAGTATTATCATCTCAATATTGATTCCTCCTTTTTTCTGAAAAAAATACTGAATTATACACGGAAAAAACATTGGATCTTAGCTCACGGTTTTTTGTCTCCCTCCCCTTGGCTGCCTTGTATAATAAATAACTATTTTCTTCGATAGTTTCCGGGACGATTTGAAAGTAGTGGTACATAGGATTTTTTATATCCCTCTACACATACAGTGTGTCCCACTTACCATGCTCACCATGGGTATCTTTTTAACGTTGAGTGATACGAGGTCGGTTAAATAACACCAAATGAGGAGTTTATCAAGGCCAACTATAATGTGGAAAGATATTTTGATAAAATCCATTCGTTTTTGTTTTATTCGCAAAAATCAGATTTTGATCATTTTCATGTCTCCTCCGTAACTTCTTTATTTATGAAAATATTCAAATAGGAATTTCACATTCTCATGGCAGTTTTTCAAAGTGACTTCGAAAAAAATATGAAATTTATACCAACTCTTCTAGAATTTGAGATATCAGCACCAACTTAAGTTTTTCAACGGTAGGTCATAGCTCACTATGATTTAGTTACAAATAACTGTTTCTTCTCTTTCAGATGATATGTCGCAGTGATAGTTTTTTGTTGATAACAACGGAGTTATTGTCATTTAAACAAAAACAAGGAATTATTTGGAAGCCACCATCTTGCATTTGTAAATTTTAACAAAAAAATCACGATCTCCGACCTAAAAAACCCTGATTTCTGACAGAGCGAATTATCGCGAGATCACAGTTGAAAGAATTAATATATCAGTTGCCTCAGTCTCCGTCGGGCGTTTGGTATTTTCTTTCAAATATGGCGAGATGATGTTTCTACGTCATAAGAGGGTCCGTTTTCAGAAGGTACTATTATTTATGTCCAAAAATAAAACATTCCAGTTAATTTTTCGATCGAATTATGTCGTCAATCATTATTTATGTATAAAAGGATCATTATAAACATGGTTTGAGTAAAAAGTTCTACTGAGGTGTACACGCCCATTGTACCAGTATATCACCTGACGAAGCTACCATGTTAGCGAAACATGTCGTGTGTTTGAGAATTTGGTGGAAATCTTATCGTTTGTGAAGTTTTTACATTTATAAACAGAATACTTATGTGATGTCAATTCAATTAATTTTCTTTTTTTTATTCCATGTTTCATGTACAATAATAGTAGATTATATATCGAGAGAGTAAAGTGCATGATTTTTCCAGAGGTGGTTTTGTAGCCAGAAGGTGCTACAATGCACTGAGGAAAGAAAGAACTCACTTCCGAGGTTTATATACCATTTTTTGCACGACTCGACGATTTTAATTGAAAGAATCTTATGATAAAATCAATTATTGTCAATATGAAAATGAAAATCTAAACACAATAATCACATAATCAAGTTTGATTATCATGACTACCGATAAAGAAGAGTAGCCAAATTGCTTTTTGTGAACATCGAAAAAGTGTGGTAGCATATTTTCTCAATTGCTTTCCAAACTTTTTTCAATAAATATTGCATCAGAAATGTGTTGAAAAATTATTGCCTAGAGAGTGCCTACTCTGTATAACCTGTATTCCCGCTTTTGTCGGTATAAAATCGCTTATAGGTCGTGCAAATACTGTTTTTTTGATATGTACTGAATATTGTACATCATTTATTCTGACTTGCCCCTCCCTAAAATTATTTCCGCGGGCGCCCCTGGGAAGAGCATCAATATTTCCGAGAATATTTCGCCCCCACTCGAATGATAATATCCGATTGACCAGTGAAAAACTCAACATGTGGATTTGAATACTTGTAGTGCGAACACCAATGACTTTTACCGACACTTTTACACTGGTCCATCGGATATTACCTTTCGACAGGGACGAAATATTCTTGGAAATATTGACTCTGCCAATAACTTAGCTCAGTTTGAATCGCGGCAAAGTGGACATTATTTCCTTTCATTCGCTTTTTGTTTCAAGTCGTTATCACATGACGGAAGTATGTCCGGAATAACAGCAGCAAATAAATCGCTGTGTCGTGAATTTTGCTCAGATTAAGGGGGGCACAGGTAGGTTTTTGAGATCTACGATTCAATTGGTATCGGATGGAATAATTCTCATCTCGTTATCAAATCGCGGAAATAAGTGCAAATTACCGCACAGGAAAGATACAGTTCTCAATCATTTTGCTCCGGATAGTCATTGGCACAGGTGCCGTTCGATAAAATACACGGTTTTTACATGCCTTCGGAACATAAAACATTTCGTTATCAGATGATGGTCGAAATTTGCAGCCGGCTACTATTAGCGACTGTTCTCCTTGGTAGCAATTTTGCAGATAAAATATCCGCTTTGGCAACGTCGCAACAGAGAACTGACGTATTCGCTCTGCGAGACTACACCTCGAAGTTTCACCGCAATGGATCAGTCCATGTTCGTGCCTTCTCCATTCTCCCACTCCATCTATGAGAGCGCGCAACCACACGGCAAGCAATCAAGCAACTCAAGCAACGGCAACGGCCAAGTCAGCGAACAGCTGTAGCTGTCACGAATTCACGATTTTCTGTTGTTTCGGGCTCCGAACATTTCAATTGATTTCAAGTCGAGTAGTCCACGTTTGTTAAGGCCATTCAGGCTAACGCGTAATCCCGCAACAAAGATTTTCCCAGAGTGTATTGACTGAATCGAAACGGTACGTGATCTCGAATGCATTTCAACATTTACAACCGAAATGGTGAAATTTCTGTGAAGGATCGTCGCTTGGTTCGGGCGATTGCAGTGTCTCTGGGTGCACGTGTTTGGTTGATCAATAAAATATCTTCAACGCCGTCTGGATTATTTGTGTTTTCTTGACATTTTCATTAAAGAAATGGCTGGTTAGTATTGCTAATAATTGTGATCATGTGGGAAACGATCGAGTTGAGAAATCGGGTAATAAACAATAAACATTATCGTTGGATATTCTGAATTAAAATTACTTGGCACCAAAGGGTACACAGTGCAGCGGAACTATTAATTAGGTATTTACAAAAACTGAATAATATTGCAATTGGCGTATTGCGTTCTGAGTTTGAATAAAGATACTAAGGTATGCTAATGAGAACTTTCTCGTGTTTACTTGGATGATTCAAAGCGAGGCTTTACGAAATGTTTATTTTGGTATTATTTCCACATGATATAATTGAACAAGATACCAGATACCTTAGGTATACACCTCATCAAACCCAGCTTACTTGAATGGTTTATGGTTTGTTTTCAGCTGTTTTAACTTTCAACCTTCATAATATTCAAATTCCTGCATAAAATAAAAAGGCCTACTACCCTATAGTAGGTAGCTGAGAGGCATAAATACTCAAGAGGTATAATACTACTATTATTAGTATTATCATGTACCTATCAATGATAAATAGGTGACTACCCATATAAAAATAATGAATATCTAATATCTAACAGGAATCAAATAATAACACTATGACGACATAATTAAATTATAATAGATTGCAATATGCTTGACATACTTATTGGCCTTTTCACTAAGTTCAAGCCATTATTAGTGGTCCGTAACCTGAGCCATAACAAGGTGAACTATTTTAAAGCCCTACAAAAATGTCAAGGGCGAACCCAAGTAGGTAGGTAGGTAGGTTTTAAAACATGATAAGTACTCTACCAGAACAAGGATTGATTAATCTGCTGCATTTACAACAAGTGATTATGAGTTATTAGCGCCAAAGAGATAGAAAATGGCTCAACGGCAGATAACTAACAGGAAACCTCATAGGAAATCCAGTAGGTCTGGGAATTCCCCATTGTTATTAAAGAAAATGTCATTAAAATTTACTAATTACTGAATTCAATTAAGAAAAATAGTAGGCTTGTTTTGCTGAGTGTTTTGCGTCAGTAGTTACGTACAACTTGTATTATGTATAATAAATGAGCGAATTATTTCCAACTTCAATCTGTTTCACACCTGCATTTCCCACCTTATAGGTGATGATAAGATGCCTCCTTAGAGATATTTATCTCTTCTTAGTCTGAATTTCATTTCATTTGAATTAACCTTATACGATATCCAAGTGCGAGAATTGATTTATCATCTGCCAAAATGTGGATAGGTTCCAGAGCAGGAGCACTCTTTGTAAATCAATTACCTAAATGAACATTTAGTACAAATGATAGTAATCACGGACACAGTTCCATAGAAATCTCTAACTTCAAATCACAAATGATCACAACCCTGAAATCACAAAAAAATTGGTCCTAGGTCCTACCCTAACTATTCCTACGCATTATGGCATTACCAAGGCTAGAAATGGTCCGAAATAAATAATTCAATAATTATTATCATCAGATCCTTATAAGACAATGATTATGTTGTATTTGAACCGTTCGAAACCTATTATAGTAGCAAATTTGAAGACACCCGAGGGGTAAATCTCCAGGAAAAATGTGTACACCAGACTTCCAATGACCAAAGACTTCCAAAGACTTCCAAAGACTCCCAAAGACTTTCAAAGACTCCCAAAGACTTTCAAAGACTCCCAAAGACCTCCAATGACACCCAAAGACTTCCAAAGACATCCAAAGACTTCCAAAGACATCCAAAGACTTCCAAATACATCCAAAGAATTCCAAAGACTTCCAAAGACTTCCAACGGAGTGTACACCAGACTTCCAAGGAGATTTACCCCTCGAAGACACCATTAGAAGGCAATCCTTTGTGTCAATTCACCGTGATAAATAATATTGAACGGGTAAATGACCTTGCATCCGGCAGTTTCATTATCAAGCTAAGAGTGATTTGGTGAATTGTTTGACAAGGAAAATGCTTCAAAGTGTCTGACTTTTAGCAAAACGAGCATTTCCACCACAGGAAACACCAAGAACAACAAGGCGGTAATTTAGGAATGATAAAAATTATTTATCTACACAATGGTGAAGCAATAGTCCAATCTAAGTTGTACTACAAACTTTGGAAACTCGAACGTAGGTATTCCAAGGTTAAAAAAAATCCACTAAAACGTTTTCTTTCAGATCTATATTATATAAGCCAATGATGGCATTACTATTATTGGACTAGGATAGTTGAACTTTAATACTTTTCGCCTACGAAACATTCAATGTCACACGACCCCTCTCAAACTGCGCTAGGAAATGAAAACAAACGCTGATAAGCGCTCTCGGGATGAAATTTCTTGATAAAACACAAACAAATACGTCGTTAGGAACCATCTATAAAACGACTTGTACAATAGAAGTGATGGAATGTCAAGCAATTATAACGTGTAGAAATTGGCACTTATCAAAACACTTTCAAAACACATGAATCGTGTTGACAAACACACATATCTACCCATATTATCATCAATAGATGTTCGCAATCGCAAACTCTGTCATCAACATAGATATTCAACAGTGTACTTCACCATTTTTGTTTATAAGTTGTTATATAGTGTGATGATCCATCATTGCCTCGTTCTTTTCGAATAATCATAATTCGTTCTGTTTCATATTGCTTTAGGTTTCAGACCAGTAAGAACACCCAGTGTTCCTTCATTTCAATGAGATCATAATATCCATAGTTTGTATCATGTTATATCTGCTGAAGAAGCAGGAGTTTGTTTAATTTTTCTCAGGGCCCAATGAACTCAATTGAATTGGCAATCGCTAGTTCAATTTTCAACATAAAATATATCGTGAGGCCGAAAGCAGCGTTATATTCTAATTGTCATTGTATATAGTAGATATATAGGAGTCTAAAAAGAGCAATGGAATAATGGCAGTATTTAACAATTGAAATTTGAAATATGGCTTTGTAATGAGCAAAAAGTTTAAATAAACCCTTATAAATGATCAACGCTCTGAATACCTATTGTTTTTCAAGAACAAGAATAATTTGAAATTTAATCCAAAACGATCCCGCTACATAGAAGCATTATAAAAAAATACGAATAACTGACCGATGCAGTTGGTCTTTCATAAACAAGATTTCTGACCTTCAGGTAAATAGGTGACCAAAGCACTTGGACCGACAATGCCTGGTCAAAACGATGGACAAACATCGCCGGTCGACTTCAGCCGGTAGATCAACAAAATGGACGTTGCTGCTTGCGATACTTGCAGAAGTCTCCTCCACGCATACCCGACATGGAGACGGATTGATCACCCAAAGAACTCGCTCATTCACGCCGAGAAACTGCCTCCTCACCAATCACAACGTGCTGCAATGTCGCAACCGAACCACAGAAAATCTGTCGCTACCCGAGGACGTCACCCGATTGGATCTCGATCACGTGCCAGGTTCCCGCCTGGACGTAAAAGACATACGCCACTTGAGGTGGACGCGCAGTGACATCGCTGACATCAACGAAGCCCTGATTCATCCTCAGAAACTCACAGAACTGGAGTTGTCATATAACAACATCAGCCATCTGCAAAACTTCCAGTTCCGCGAGTTCAACAGCCTCCGTTCTCTCAACTTGTCCCACAATTCCATAAACGATCTTCCGAGGGAAGCATTTAACAATCACAGCACGAAACTGCGCAAGCTATGTCTCTCTCACAACTCCCTCAAAGCTATACCCTTCCAAGTATTCTCGCCTTTGAACGACACAGTCGAGCTCGACTTATCCTACAACCATCTGGTCACCTTCCTCGATCACTTCTTCAAATTCAACAACAACATCGAAGTGCTGCTACTCAACAACAACAATCTGACGAAAATCACTTCGAACGCTCTGGCGGATCTGACCAAACTCACGAGGCTAGACCTCTCCTACAATTCCCTGCAATCCATATCCATGGGGCTATTCGACTCGCTCAGCAACCTCTTGTACTTGAACCTAGCCAACAATCCTCTGCTGAACATGGCGAGTGGTACCTTTAGAGGACTAGGCGACTTAAGGGTGCTGAACCTCAGCAACAACAAGCTCAGCTCACTTTCTTTTGGTCTACTGCACTTCAGCCCTCTGCTAACCTCTCTCACCCTGGATGACACTCTGATCGAAGTAATCCACAATACAGAACTCCTAGGAGTGCCTAACCTCGAGACGCTGAACTTGCGTAGAAACAAGAAACTCAGAGAGATAGAGACTTACGTTTTCGCTGACACTCCGGTACTGCGTGAGCTCGACATCAGTGGCAACGATCTGACGTTCCTACCACACACTATCGCCAATCTTACGGAGCTGAAGAGGCTCAACATCAGCGACAATCCCTGGGCTTGCGACTGCCGCATGTTCTGGTTCGCCCCATGGGCAGCCAGCAAAAAGAAATCCAACATCACCATGTCGGATCTCAGTTGTGGTCCGTACGCTTATCCCAATGACATGTTGCCTACACTCCAGCACCTCAATTGCATCGGCCCTAGGGTCGTTTACAAGACCCCCACCAAGCTTTACAGGCTAAGAACGAACGCCCTTCTTGAATGCAGGTACGTTTCCAACCCTCCTTCGTCTATAACGTGGGTCACCCCTCGAAAGGAGGTCTACCATTGGAACCCGGACCCTAGTATTCCCGATATTTTTGCCAAACACCCACACGCTCACAGCCAAATAATGACACCTTTGAGAGTCATCCCACCTCGTATTCAAGTCCTTGACAATGGCACTCTTTTAGTGAAAAATGTTACCAGAGACGATTGCGGCAGGTACACTTGTTATGCCAGCAATCCCATAGCCAATGCTACTGAGGATGTGTTGTTGCACATCGATCCCACTGATTGGAACCAGATCAGGATCATCAGTCTGATCGTGGGAACCCAAAGTGCGGCGGGGTTTTTGGGGCTGACGCTGCTTGTACAGTTCCTGAGATATCTGATGGATAAGTGAGTAAAACATAAACATTCTTCTGTTCGTGGTATTTTGAAGTCTCCACAATTTGCGATGAAAATGTCAATTGACGATGTCACTTTGAAAGCTGGAATCTCGATGATGATAAAATATATTCGAAATTCGGAAGCAGGGACTTGAATGAGAAGTTGTTTCTTGTCGATTAGGTTTTTTCACTTGATTTCATCATTTCATATACAGAGAAATGTTTACAAATGGAACCCCCTGTTTATTATCATGTGGTATTTGGAATTTATTCAATTGTTATCATGGATTACCAATTTAATTAATCTCCATAGCCTACTCTTCTTCAAAATTGTTGAATGTCAAAAATGTTTCATAGATGGGCCAGCAGCAATAACATGTAATATTAATTTGTTCCGTAAAAGTCCTAAACTTTGGTTAGAAGTAGTTTGATAATATTTTGATGACTGGTATCATTTTAGTACTGACAAAACCCATTTAAATGCGTGAAGATACATCATCAACTTTGGATAAAACATAACAGCAATTCGAAGCTGGATTATTTTCTAAAGAAAATCATATTTTTGTCGATAATTAGTAATAGAAAGTTAGTAGCATGATACAGATACCGGTAATACATAGTCCAGTAAATAGTTTTGTCGAAGGTACATTTTTTTATTACATAATAATAAAATATCGAAATGGAAACAACTGTTCTTAGTTAAATTTGAACAAATAAGCATATTTTCAGCGATTAATTGAAAAAATACCTTGACATGTAGCGAAAGTCAGGTGACCCCGAACGAGTAGGCCATTTTTCATCTTTTTTATAGCAAAACGATGACCAAGACGAATTTCAAAATGAATTTTTATCAAAAGATTTCCCCATATGAAACCAACATTCTAAAAAGATTGAGAGCAAATAATTTCGTTTAGTATTTTGCAATATTCGAAAAGGATGAACCCCCGTAGGCTCGAAACATGTACGATTTTTGATGTCTATCAATTGACATTTATATGGAAATTTGTGGAGAACAGGAATTCATAGACAACTCCTCAATGTTTAAACTCGTTCCTTTTGACAAAAAAAAACAAGTTATGCAAGTCAAATGACTACCTGATAATGCAAATTTGAATTTTTTCAAGACAACGCAACGATGTTCATAATTATAACGTACCACTTACATACATTTGCATTCATTGTAATAAATTCAATTTCATAAACTGTTATGAATAACGAGAAATGAAATTGAATATACATATGCGATGAACAATCAAAATTACATTATATCGGATTACTGAAGTAAATCAGTTCACTCAGATTATGCATTCAACATCAACTATTTTAAGATAATTATTATTAATCGATTATTTTGCTTTCAGGTTTGGTTTGCTGAATAATTTCTGCAGTTTTTGTAAGCGCGATCGAGTTTCACCAAGGGCAAGGCAAATTTATGCCATGCTGGATAATATTGAGCAATATAAAAGTCAACAACTCGAAAGGCTTCGAGAGAATTACGCCCAACAGGTAAATCCAATAATCAAATACAAAATAGTTATGCGTAAAATGAGCATGGTCGAGGCCAAAAATTCTCTCAAGTTATTTTTGTATATAGTGCGCGAAATATTACTTTGGTGATCGAGAACTAATTTTTTTTACATAGTACAAAATTTTTTTTACAAACGTCAAAACATATAGTTTTAAAGTAGTTATATGCTTAGCTTAATGAAAAAATAGGGTTGAGATGGCTCAATAGGTCTTCATTATTGTTGAAAATTCGAAAATAAATGAAGTCTTGGATGTTTGCTCGATTGAGGACCATAAAGTTTTGATTTTTTACAAAATATTGAATTTTCCATCTCCTTCCAAACAAATTGAAATATCTGATAAAATTGTGGAATCAACTCTCCAAGAAATATCTAACGTTTCTGATCAGCAGCAACATGGTGCATCTCCTGGAATTTATTTTGGAAGTAATTGTTCAAACTTTACTATCAATTATTATTCCAATAATTGAAATTGTTTCATGATGAATAATCAATTATTAATTGACTGTTGAAAATAAATCCTTCATAAAGTCATATTTCAGGTTTATTTTGTGAATTATTCTGGCAGTGAAAAAAAGTAAACATTAACGCATCAATAGAGACGCAGAGTTTTTCTGACACTTGCACAAAAATGAAATTTTCGGCATTTCAAAAACCATATTGTGCATAATGAAAAAACCAAAACTCAAAGAAAATCAGATACATGTTTACATGCACTTGAAATTAACTTGAGAAGACCCCTGGGTTAAATCGTCCGATCTCTTTAATAAGATGAAATTGGCGAGTTTTCATCAATCATTAATTTGTTTGTCTTGCAGGTTCATCGAATTAAAGACAACTGCGCCCAACAAATGGAATGGATTCAAGGCAGTTATCAGTCTCAAGCTAAACACCTCAAGGACTTCAGGGATATCGGGGCTTCCCATTTAACCACCTTACGTGGACAATACTGCGATCAGGTAAATCATATGTATATCACGGCGAATACGTGTACAAAAAATTATATGAGCCCTTGTAACATTTTACCCTATTCCGAATTTTAAATGAATATAGAACCGATCGATAGCATATCATGTTATCGACATAATCTAGCCATCCTTTATCATAATAAGGACATTGAACTTGATCTTCAGAAGCGAGAAAATCTATTCACTTCATTGATTTTTTGCTTTATAATGGAAATCTAATGAATGTTCTAGTTGGATTCGAAGACGGAAAATAGAATAAATTAGTGTCCTTCCTTTGAAGCAATAATTATTTCTGCAATTAAAATGCCTTGATTCTATTTTTGAACTTTGGATGTTGTTTTTGGCATGGCCTTACCACAATGTAAACTGTATATCATAATATATTATTTGGATACAGATGTTTTAATATCATATTCCAATTCAGAAAACGATAATTTGAACAAGCAAATTTGGACCAGGACAGATAGCAGCAAATATCACTCAATCATCAAGCCGGTCGGGTCATTACAATATTTTGTTTCAAAACGCGACAAATATTAGACAAAAATGTTGCTGTTGATACAAAGTAACGAGACCATTTTCGTCTCTCTTAATCATTTTTTTCGATGCTGAACTAATACTCCTCGACGACTCTTACAGGTCAAGAAAGTCCGAGACTATTCCACCTCTCAACTCAACTGGGTGCGCGAAAACTATGTTTTCCAACGCAACAAGATCAGAAAATTTAGCTCCCACAAGGTCCTACAGCTGCGAGAGACCTACAAGTACCAACAGCAAACTCTCAACAAGGTCCTCGAAAACCTCCCCAGCCTCTATTTCGAAAACTGCCGAGCCGGCACTTGTGGCAAAGCGGAATCTCTCATCTTCGATCCCAAAGACTACGAAAGCGTCGACGTCTACATCAAATCCCAAATGGAAAAACTAGCCAATACTAGCACCAGCACTAATGACATGACTCAGAGCAGGATGTCGCTGTACTACACCCCCTCGGAAATGTCTGCGGCAGACACCCCTAGCGGCATCCCCCCGGGAATCTACATCAATTACATCGAAAACCCCCCCAGAGGCATTCTGCTGATGGAGGAACCGAGCACCTCCAAGCACGCGGTCATCATCGAGGATAGCTTCGCGGAAGGCTCGAAGCCCGGCTGCAGTTCCGAGCTGCGAGTCGAAAACGAGATCACCCAAGCTCGGATCGAGATCGCCCGAGTCGAGAACGAGATCGGCCGAGCTCAGCCGAGCACCAGCGCAGGCGCAGAAAAAATGGGGAAGGTGGAGCACGAGACGTCGCTGTAAGCACTGATACACACTACTATCTAGACCGCTATATGAAAGAATCTGTTCTACTCATGAGATCGGGCTGGGGAACATGAATCATGCGCATTTATGTCATATATCTTACTAATGTTCCTGAACTCCTTGGGTGCGTTCATAAACTTGCTTTAGCAGTTTAGAGTATGCGTTCACAATCGTTCAGAAATTTGGTTAGGGTAAGCTTGCCTACCCAAAGGTGCGTTTGATTATAAACTCTCAGAGTAGAGTTAAGTTAGTTGAATCAATCTGAGTGAATTATAGTATTTGAGTTTATTGACACTTATAATCCAGTTGCAAATAGATATGTTGAATGCTGTTTGTCAATATTGCAACTTGGTTGAAACCATGTCTTGGGTACTGCTATACTCACGAAGCTTATACAATAAACCTCAATGGACTTATGATTGAATGATTGAATTGATAATTGAATAAATTGTTTTCAAATTTGTCGACCTCAACAGAACCTTAGTGCCCTTTCTGAATAATTCATGATAATAATAATAATAATAATGAACTTTATTCAAAATGTTGACGAAATATAAATTAAAAGTATACATATTGGTATTGAATAAACAAAGAAAATCTTATGAAGTATAAATAGTTGGAAGGTATATAAAATAAAAAGTTATTGAATCCATTGATTAATTAATTAATAAAGTAATTTATAATGTTTACGATGTCTTTCAACTTGAAAATATAATGCTGAGAAGTATTTACTAAGTTTGTTATTTTTTAGGATAAAAAAAACAATCATAAACTGCGTTTAAAATGGACCTAACCTAGCTTGAAACAAACAAAACAAACTTCTTCATCCTTGTTCGCCCTGTAATAACGGTGACAAATCTGTGGAGTAAAATATTCCCACATATCTTGTGAAATTGCAAGAGTTAACTTGAAGTTGAAAACTCTAGTATTTTCGAATGCACACTCCACAGAGTACGTAATTGGAGTAATTGGATAGAGTAATGATGTAACTCTGAAAGTTATGTCAAGTTTTCTTCATCGGTGTTTGTTCATGTTTTGCATCAATATCTGACCGATTTTATATTATATGAATGACACGGAATTTACTTATTATCAATGGGGGAGACTACTGATTTTTTAAAACGACATCAACGTGAGGTCTATAACAAAAAACTACCAGTATTATAATTTCAAATGTTATCATTCATACTAGAACGATACAAAAAATAAATTAAAATTTGTTCTTTCCAAAACACACACTTCCTGCGCCATCTGAAATGATGTCAACTCATTGGTGTGACTGATGTGACGTTTTGTCACAAGACGCTTATTGTCGAACTGACCAATCACACTGCAGCACTGTAGAATGACATGGTATCAGAGGGAGATATCTACAGGTTCTACAGGTCGGGACTAATACGTCACGGCTTTACCTTCATATCTGGCTTTTTGAAATATTGAATTGAATATGCTGATTTCAAAGCGCTATAGGTTCTTTTCCCTTCAACTTCAACTTATTATATTAATTGTACATATAATGTAAATCATGATTCATTGACTGAAAGAGGGTTTTTTTTATCGCTTGGAGCGCACGAAAGGGAATCCCTATAATGTTCAAAGAACATCGTGCGTTCCTAGGGAGGATAGGGATAGGAGGTAGGTATTGGAATTTTTTTTGAACTTCTGGAGATTACATGTTGTTGGGAATACTTCCTCCGGCAATGAATTCCAGAGCCTAGCCGTTTTACGTTGGACGGATTTCATCCGTAAGTGGTCTTCCCCATTGGCAAGTGATGCCGTTTTTAAAATTGAAAGGTAAGTTGGCTGACGAAATACTAGTATTCAAGTATATTTCATTTCTATAATTCCGTATCATGAAAGAGACCTGATAGTTTTATGACAGATTTGTTATTTTGCAAGAATTCACATTACAGATTTTGAAAGGCTTCTCTGAGTCACCTTTAACGATATATTTCTGATAAGGTGACCATACTTTAACTCTACTCACAGGATTAAGTTTATGAGCGCAGCCCAAGAAACATAACATATAACGGTCTAAATAAGTAGTTATATTAGTGATTTTAAGTTGTGTTCGTTGTGAAACAAAAACTGCTGTGATAACTTGAGAACTATTGTAGGTGTCACAGTGTAGGAACTGCCTCACTAGTGCCAACGTAGCAGCTAGCTCTAAGAATAACTTTCTGTTTGTTCCATTTTAACGAATTGCCAAAAGACTTAATTTTCAAATGGGTGCAAACCAGTGTTTTTTTTTTCTTTTAGGATATTGTTCGACACTATGTAGTCATTTTGTTGAAAGACTGACTATCCTCGAGAAAAATCAAACAAGTGTTCCTCACTTCCTGTGATTTTCAAATGCGCTACCTACGTCAGAAAATGTTATGGAAACAACGATTATTTTCACTACATATTTCACAAACTCGAATAGATCTTTTGAGGGTAGTCGTTCAAATTTTTCCAATTGTTTTGCATGGATGTTTTCATCATTTCTCTAGAACACGAAACAAAAATCGTAGCTCACAGTTTGATGTTTCCGGAAGTAGATATCTATATAATCATTAGGTAATCTCAAGGATTTAGAAATAGAGTATAGAGTTAGATAATGGTAAATTGAATTTCCTCATAATGATTTTGATGTTATAATTTTCGAGTAATTTATCAGCCATATTTCCCCATGAATTATTCAACATATACAAGTGGTTGCTTATAAGCTACTTAGAAGCCTAAATAATTGTTGAAACTTTCGAAATTCTAACTCTTACTGTTGTAGAATATTCGTATTACAATATATTTTTCTAAAAAAAGCGCAATATTCAAGTACTCCATTTAGATATGTTGACAGAATAATTCATGTATGGGATATAAATCTACACAGGTAGAAGGGGGATTATTTTCTAATACAATGGGAACCAAAATATGGATAAAAACACAATACTATTTTTATTATGACGGATATTTGTTGTCCTCTTGTGAACGTGATTTATTTGAATATACAATTGAATACTGTAGTAGCATCTCATTAAATAAAATTGTACGAAGCTATGATTGCCTTTTAATGAAAATATGACCTCATAAAGTTATCTCTACTTAAGACTTGGGACGAAATTAGTGAAGATTTATGGTTGAATATTCCTGACTGCTATCAAAACATTGAAAACTGATAAATGCAGTATTGAATTAACATACAGGTGACAAGTGAAATAAATATTTTGAACTTCTCAAAAATTTGACGATTGCAATATGTTCATTATTGCTTTCCATATATTAACCAGTGACAAGCTTTGATTAGTTCAATTAATTTCTTCAATAATTATGAAATCATATGAAAGCCAGCGCATCACACTTTATTAATTTGATTTCATAATACAAAACATGACGTTTGAGCTAACTGTAGATTTCTACATGAATTGGATTACAATGCAGTAATCACGGACCATGTCTAATAAATCCGAATAATTTGAGAGAAATCATACATTTGATTGTGACCCTTTGATTAATTTTCATACTGGCTGCCTTATAAAAAACGCACGATCTGTATACGTGATGTACATTTTTTGTAACAGGACTAAAACAGCTTGAAGATGACATTTTATTTTAGGCGAAAATGTCTTTCAATTAAAAATAATTACATGCGTGAAATTTCTTTCCTGTGTTTCAAGCTCGGTTTCAAGTTGTTCCACTCCCTGTGTAACAAAGCTTTCTATATGTCCAGGTATTCTAGTCAATTATTAAAAATGTCAAATAAAGTGTGTTCGAAATATAAAGTTTGGCATTCATCTCAAAATCTATAGGTTACGAAAAATAAACAGGAGATCAAAAGATAATCTGAATAAATTGTTCATTAAAAGGAGAGGCGACTCACAAAAAAGTTCGAGAAGACTAAATCGGGTACGACCCCCATAAAAGTATCATCCTGTAGGTGTTCTAAGACGCTTAACAGCCCTAGTGTAATGAGTGTACCAAATTTCAATGTATTTCTTCAAAAATTGTGGAAGAAAACTTTACATTGACAAAATTTCAATTGTCCGCGTTTTATGAGACAACATTGTATATTTGATTAATTTTATTAATCAATAATCGGAATATAATTTCAAAATGATATGCATCATTGATATAATATTGTTTTCCATTTAAAATCTATGTATTGGAACTGAAATCTGATTGTAAAAAAATTAATCAACTGTGTTGAAAGATGAATTTTGCCCAGATGTCAATGTCTTTTGTCTCCAAAAAAAGAAAATGATTCTCAACAGCTACTAACAGAAAGTTTCATGTTCAGTTTGTTTGCTAGTTAATTTACAAACTATGTTTGTATACAGGATGAAGGGGCACACCATTCATATCTCAAAAAAGTAAAATATCGAACACTTGTAATTCCGAAGTAATATGACTTTTTATATGAATTTTAAATGTCGATATGATGTCATATGAACACTAGTATTAACATGGAAATATACTTTTGGCTTAAAACTTGATTTTTGTAGAATTTGTATTAATTAAACTGTGCCTGACACTAAGCTTTTGATTCATTTAAGAGGCGAAATTCTGCTAGATTGAAATACGTCAAATTCCACTCTCCCAAGTTGAAACACTATATTTTCTCCCACTTTTAGATCAGGGAGATCATTTCACATACATTAGCATACATTTTGGACTGACATTTTTGGAACAAACTAGCTTTCTGGTCTATCAATCATACAAACAGGAGTTACACTGCATCACCATATAAAAAAATATAATCAAGGTGGAGCAAAATCCTTCAACAATCATTCACAAAAACTCGATCTTCGAGATAATGCCATAAGAATAAGCCTTGTAGGAAGTCTGCAATGTTTTCTACGGGATTCTTTTGTTGGGTAGAGATAATCGTCAAATATTTTTGACAACGAATTTCCTTCTGACCTTCACAATTTATAAAAACCATAAAAAAGAGAAAACTTGCAAATACATCCTCTGTTTTGTTGCCCACTTGTGTACTCTCGAAAATTCCAAATGATAGACAGCAAAAACCGTATACAGGGTAAACATTTGATATAAACACCTGCTAGCAAAACTGTTCAAGGCCTGTCCTGGATTTTCCTAACCTTGAATAATGTCAGTTGACCAATAAGAAATTGTTTGCTGGACAGATATGACGAATACAATTTTCCGCAAAAATCGCTTTACATTTTCTTTCAGAAAGTTGGCATCATTAAGGAAAACCTTCCGATAATAATTCATTTTGAACTTCGTTTTGCTTCAAAAAAGAATAAAAATGGCCTACTCTATCGGGGTCACGTGACCTTCACTACATTTTCAAATCAATCGCCGAAAATAAGCTTTATTCATTTGAATTTACAAAACGTTTACAAAAAATAAGAATGATTGTCCTTCACATTATAATCAAATAATATTGTGGTGTGTAGGGGTATATGTAAATTCGGTCCCAAGAATTATTAGGCCAAAAATGAGGTGCAAATTCGGTCCCAAACTTTGTTTTACCTGATACTGCATAGGTAAATTCGTTTCCAGGTAAATTATTTTGTGAGGTAAATAATGACATAGGAAAAGAGACTACTTTTTTCCAAACAATCTGACCTAACCCTGCCTAATATGTCATGTAGGTATATAAATAGTTTATATTTATAATATGAGGAAGGAAAATATCCTTTCTGCATAAGAAGGAGAATACTTTTTTCTGAACAATCTGACCTAAATCGATTATGCAGGCAAGTATTGTAAAACCCTTAGCAATTGATATGGTTGGGATTTGGGATGGAATGTACTCACTGATAAAAGGATATAAAATTTTTAATTCAATCTGCTACCTGCTGGGACCGAATTTACCATCAATTATGTGTAGTAACCTCCTCCAAAATACTATTCTTCAATCTTTAATTAGATTTTGATGCATTTTGGATGACTTTTTGAGGTTATCCTATATTCTTCTTATTCTGGTCCCCTTCATTTCATCTCACTTGTCCGATATTACCGGAAAGAACAGATTATGTGGATATTCTAAAGTGAAAAATTAATTTTTTCTCTCTTGGAGCGCACGAAAGGAAATTCCTATAATGTTCGTGGAACATCGTGCGTACCTAGGGAGGACAGGGAGACCTCCTCTCCCTGTGGTGTTGGAATTTTTTACAAACGTTTGGAGGATATAAGTTCTGAGGAATACTTCCACTGTCAAATACTTTCAAAGCTTGGCCGTTCTATAGACGAACAAGTTTTGTTAGACATTTTTCAAGGTTAACGACGGAGGGATGTGCTGACTGAGCCTATCGAGTTCGTCTGACTGGCACTGCTAGTGATGAAATTATAGCAGAGATTTCTGAGGAACAGTTCCCGTGGAAGTATCTATAGAATAGTGAAAGGTCACCGACTTTTCTACGGTGTTCTAATTGGGTCAAAGAGTTGGTGAATGTGGCATCACCAACCAGGCGAAATCAGCGTGTATGGGTGCTGAATCCCATACATGACAAAAGTATTCTAAAACTGGCCGGACCTGTGCTTTGTAGATCATGAGAAGCTGTTGTGGTGTGAAAAATATTTTCTACTTATTTTGATGTTGATTATTTTTAGTTCAATAGAATGTTTTACTGTGATGTAATAGTTGTCCATCATTAATTTGCCTCACTTTTGCTTGACAACTTGATGATAACCAACATTGATATAAATAAATTTACCTATACAGCTTTTCGTGAGAATACATCCTAATAGATCAGTTATTAATGATGCGATTTTCTTTTAGTAGAGTGAACTGTTTCATTCACCATTGGCGTGCAGGGCTTATTCTGGAGAAGGATATTAGGGCTTATTTTAGACTAGCAGACCTCGCAAACGTTGTTTTGCTATATACATTATTTCTATAATATATTTGTTCAGTTCAATATTCATCAAGACACCATAATTATTTCATTTTCTACTTCTTTTAGTTTTTTAGTCTATAAAAGCGTGTTTCATTAGTTTCAAACCACCATTAATTTCAACTTCTTTTTAGTTCACTTGAATTTCCCAATTTTGACGGAAGAATCATAATATCCGACTCCTAAAACCCGAGATGAAAATTTTGAATAGAATCGGAACATAATTACAAGACTCATACGCAATTTTGGATGTACCATCTTGAATTTCCTAATTCTGACGAAGGAGTCATAATTTTTGATCCCAAAAACGCCCACTTACAAATTTTGAATATAATCGGCAAATAATTATAAAACTCGTCCGGTACATTGGGTCCACCGTCTTGAATTCCCAAATACCGCCCTTTCCAAATTATGACAAAAGAATCATTATCTCCGACCCCAAAAACTCCCAGATAACAATTTTGAAGAGGAGGATAATTACAATACTCGCCCGCCATATTGGGTCCGTCATCTTGAATTTCCTAATTTTGACGAATGAATCATAATCTCCAACCCCGAGAACCACCAGATACCAAATTTGAATGGAACCGGATCCTAATTACAAAATCCGCCATTTTGGATCCGCCATCTTGAATTTTTTGATTTTGACGAAGGAATCATAATCCCCGATCACGAAAACCCATAGGTACCAATTTTGAAAAGAATCGGATGATAATTACAAAACACGTCCGCCATATTGGTTCCGCCATCTTGAATTCCCTAATTCCGCCCGAATGATACCAAATTTGAATAGAATCGGACCATAATAACAAAACTCGTCCGATATATTAGATCCGCCATCTTGAATTTCCGAATGGTACCGGGATAAAAAGTATCCTATAACCTTTTCCTGGTTCTAAGCTACCTCCCCACCAATTTCAGCCATATCGATCCAGTAGTTGCGGAGCCTATTCAATACAAACAAACAAACAAACAAACAGATCTTTCCTCCTTATAATATTGGTATAGATAACTTTTATTAATTCAGAATCAGCATCCACAAAAACCTCCCAACTAATATTTTCAAGATCCCAAGAACTGAAAAAAAAAAGTTTTCCGAAATCCCGGTTTTCATGACTACACCCTTGAATCCCAGTTATTAGATGCGATCTTGGAATTTTGATGGTGATCATCACAATTTCGAGAAAGTCACATCATTAACAACTTAGATTTCAGGACATAGTCATGAAAAGCTGGATTTTGGATATTTTTGGGATTTCGAAAATATAGATTGGGGGTTTTTTGGGGATGCTGATTCTGAATCTGATGAAACAAGTTATTTAAAATAAGCCCTGATTAATTTTCCCGAGTATAGGCATTTTTTGTAACCCTCAACATCGCACGCCAATGGTGAATGAAACTGTTCACTCTGATAAATACTTCATTGTGCTAACATACATACAATCACCAATAAAATTTCATGAAAATCGCATCATTTATACCTGAGATTTCAGGACGTAGTCATGGACAGCGGGATTTTGACTTTTTTCTTGGAGATTTTGAAAATATGGATTGGGGAAACTGATTCTGAATATGATGAAAAAAGTTATATAAAATAAGCCCTGATTTCCTTTCCCGAATAAAGGCCTTGTTTTTTACCCCTCAACATCCCATGTTAATAGTGAATGAAACTGTTCACTCTGACAAATACTTCTACTTGTACTAACATACAATCACCACCAACATTTCAAGAAAATCGCATAATTAATGCTTGGGATATTAGGGTGTACTCATGAAAAACGGGACACACTGTATAACAAAAAATAAAGCAACTCCATCATAAGGGACTTGATTTTCCCCCACCTTGTATATCTCTATCTCAATATAAAGTACCACCAACCTTTTTCAGTGATCTGCTATACAGATTGACTCTGTGCGTTGAGCTGACGAGGTTTTTCACGACTCCAGCTCCAATCACTCCGAGCCCTATGAAACCAAATGTCAAATTCGATGTCAAGATGTTCTTTGTCTTCAATAATTCTTGGTTAGTGCTGAGATCCAGAGTGGGAGATTCCTATGGAATACAAGACATTGGAATAGTTTGGTTGCGAAAACAATATAATATATGCACGACCGGGCGTAAAATAGCACTTTACCTCCCGGTTTTGCAGGCGTAAAGTGGCACTTTGCCGCTCGCGGACTACTTTACCGCCCGGCGTTTGGGTAACTCGTAATAAGCATTCCTGTACATTATATGATCAAACCCAAAATGAGATATCTGTCACGACAGAGTAATTGATAGCAAATATAATAGTCCAGGAAAGGGCAATTCGTCTCGTGGGTGATGCCTCGTTCACAAACTCACTCACTTCTCTGGAACACCGCAGAAAAGTTGGCGATCTGGCTCTTTTTCAAAGATATTTTCATTGACGATGCTCCTCTGAAATATCAACAATTAATCCTCCCTTGGAAGTCCCCGCGAGATTAACCCGTCTAGTTGAGGCTTCGCACCCCTTCGTGGTCACTTTAGAGACCTGCATGACATCTTTTTCCAAAGACACATTCATCCAACGAACAGCGAGGCTCTGGAACACATTGTCAAGAGAGGTGTTCCCCGAGGCATATAACCTCCAGAAATTTGAGAAGAACACCAATTCCTACCTTGTTTCCATTGGTTCTCACGATGATGAAGGGATATCCTGTAAAGTTCAGAGAACATCGTGAGAACCAAGGGAAATAAGGCCCGAAACAGAAAACCAAGTTTTTGGGATGCACTTTTAGCAATTGATCTCATGTGATTTTCCCAAGAAAGGTTATTGCTAACAGTAATACCAAGCATTGAAATGGATGTCTACAAAGGTATGGCTACTCCTGACATGCTTATGTTTGGCACAGAGATCAGTTTTTCTAGAAAAAAGGCATGCTTGTGTTTTGTTTGCATTGAAATCTACCAAGATATTGGATCCCCATTCGAGAATTGTTGCCAAGTCCATATTTATGTTCTCAACATTTCTCCCTCGTTCGTTTCTGATTTGCCTGGCTGGTATTCTAGTCCTGGAAGAGAAGGCGGTATGGAGAGTACTATCATCCGCGAAGCTGTGTACTGGACATGAAGTTGCTTCCAACAAATCGTTGATATGGAGTAGAAATAGTGTTGATGCTAGAATTGATCCTTGCGGAACACCAGCATTTATGGTAAGAGAGTCAGATGAAACTCCGTCGACCACTACATGGAGAGACCTGTTTGAGAGAAAACTAGCCAGCAGAGAACATAGCTGGGGAGGCAAGCCATAAGATGGAAGCTTGGCGAGGAGTCCGTGGTGCCAGACTCGATCGAATGCTTTGGAGATATCAAGTGCCACGGCTAAAGTTTCACCATATTTTTCAATAGATTTCTGCCATATATGTCCGGAATGATAGCAGCAAATAAATCGCTGTGTGATGGATTTGACTCAGACTGAGGGTTGACACAGGTAGGTTTTTGCAATCTACCATTCAATTGGTATCAGATGGCAGAATTCGTTAGCGAAACACGTGTCGAGGTGTTAAAAATCGGTTTGGTTAGTAGTGAAACAGTGTGTAGTGTATTATCGTGCCAAAGGTTCCAGTCTTCGATATACTGTAATGTTATAGTTATTTGTTGCATTCTGTCTCTAGAGGCTAGTGTGTCTGACAGTTTGACGTTGACGTTCACATCACCAACTTTGAAACAAGAAATTCAGCGTGTCCTAATAGAAGCTGTTTCGATACGCATTTGGGTTTCATAATGAATGACTACATTAAGGACGCAAAATAGAAAAATATCATTTTGCATCTCAGACATCAAGAGAACTGTAATATTAGATAAGGAACCATCACAATTAGAACATTATTGTCCTGAATTATACAGGAATGCCCATTACAAGTAACCTATACGCCGGGTGGTAAAGTAGTCCGCGGGCGATAAAGTGCCACTTTACGCCCACAAAACCGGGCGGTAAAGTGCTACTTTGCGGCCGGTCGTGCATTAAATATAATAATGTATTCATTTTAATGACGGCGGAATAGCGCAGTGGTTGAGGCGCTCGACTAGTAATCAAAACATCGAAAGGTTGCTAGGCAGAACAGAGAATTTTCATTTATAAAACTAGTAAAGAATTGAGAATATATATATAAATAAACTAGGGAATATTGGGGACTGCAGCAAAGTCAAAAGAGTACTCTTTAAAGTTGGTCCAAGCTTTCGAAAATCTTTATTTTCATCATCAGGGAGTCTGTAAAGTGATTATTCATGAGTATCATGTAGTTAAAGTGATGAAATCTTTGTGTACTTACAACTTTGCTGAGGATGGCTGACATGATGTTCATGTATAATTTCTTTATGTGTCTTGGTAACATAACATGAATAAGCCCAAAAGTCATCGATAAAAATACATTACATTGAATAACACACGTTAAAACATTATAAAACTAAGTTAAAAGTCACACCTTCCACCACATGGTTGGAATTGTTAGCAGATAAGGTTATTGCAAATGGTGCCGGGAAATGAGTTTTTTTGAAAAATGAATATGACTGACATATGATAGTGTGTGTGAAGACAATTGTCATGTCATATATATATATATATATCTTGGGAGCAAACGTTCATTTCCTCCCATGTGTGTTTAATCAAACTTCACACGCGGGATTAAATGAATACCTTTGTTCCCTTGGTACATAAATAACTATTATCCTCCATACTGGTTCGTTAATTGGTGTAGGAAGTCGTGAATTAAATCGATATTGTTTACTTACAGGAAGATCGACTGCTGGGGGTACGTTCAATAATTCGATTCCAACATTACTAATGCCATTCTCCTCGGTTCTTGGTGATGACTGTCTGGCTCTCTTGGAGTATGAAGATACTTTGCTACTTGAAGAATCGGAATTCTGTCTTTTCACAGGGGCAGGCTGCAAAAACATAGGACCCATCAAAAACTCATCAAATCTATATACAGGGTGATTCAAAATTCGCTGTAAATATTTTGAGGGCGTATTGCTGGGATCAAAATAACACTTTTTCTTTCCTTCAACCCTCCGAAAACTGAGTTCACATAATGCTCGAAGCAAGAAGGAAATAAAGTGTCTAGAAAAACAGAGGCATTCAAAGAAGATTTGATCCGTTATTTTAGTCACAGTTGTCTTTTTATACCTAACCCACAGTGTAGCTGTAGCTTGTAAGGGGTGTATTTTAGAACACCAAGTATAAATGAAGAAACATTCTTATTTTGATCCTAGCATTACGTACTTGAAGCATTTAAAACGAATTTTGAATCGCCCTGTATATAAAAATGAATCCCTATTTCTCTTGGTCAGGCCATCATGCGTGAAAGGCTGGACCGATTTCACTAATTTTGTTGTTGGTGTGTTTGTTATTGTCAGGAGAAGGTTATGATGAAAAAAATAAGAAAATCAAGATGGCGTACCCAATAAGTCGGATGAGTTTTGTAATTATGATCCCGATTCCATTCAAAATTGGTATCTGGGGGTTTTCTTAGTCAGAGATTTCGATTATTTCGTACGAAATGGAAAATTCAAGATGGAGGACCCAAAATGGCGAAAGAGCTTTGTAAATATGATTCTATTTGAAATTGGTATCTACGGATTTTCGGAGTTAGAAATTATGATTCTTTCGTCAAAATTGAGGAATTCAAAATGGCGGAACCAATCATTATGATCCGATTCTATTCAAAATTTGTATCTGTGGGTATTCGGGGTCGAAGATTATGATTATGATAATTAGAAAATTCAAGATGGTGGATTCAATATGTCGAACAAGATTTGTAATAGTGTTTTTGAAAAACTAATGAAATACCCTTTTATACATAGCCAAACTGAAAAGAAATAGAAAATAAATACTAGTTTAGAGAACCAAATAGATATATTAGCAAACTGAAAAGTAGAAAATAAAAATAGTAGTCTGAAAAACTCAGAAAATACGCTTTAATGGTAAGTCAAACTAAAAAAAGTTGAAAATAAAATAATGAAAGTGTGTTGTTGAATATTTTACTGGAAAAATATTTTCTAGAAATGATGTATATAGCAAAACAACGTTTGCCGGGTCGTCCAGTGTTGAAAAAATGAACGATAACAATGGTGAACGGGAGAAAAACAGCAATTTTTCTGGCTTATGGCACACAGAACATTCAATTACATCCTTGATTTCAGGAATTTTTTTCCCGTTGCATCAGAAAATACAGGGTGCTCGGAACAAACGATCTACAGAGTACTACTTGATTTTATCAAATGGAACACCCTGTATTTCATTGTATTTTTAGATTCTCCCTGAAGAGCTGATTTCATTAATACATCACACTTGGGGTCTAGCGGGAATGATTACAGAGATATTGGGTGTTTAAAATCGAGGTTTTTCAACTTTAGGATTTTTTTGTGTCGAAACTATTCATTATTGGTCAGAACGGCTTAAATGTCCCTATCTGAACTTTTGATTTACTATCTACTGACAATTAATTGGACATATACAGTGTGGTTCAATATTCAGAATTATGATCACCCTGTATCTGGTCCAATTATTAAATGTCAATAGATAGTGAATCAAAAGTTAAGACAAGGTCATGACAGCCGTTTTGACCGATAATGAATTTTAGAAAAATCCTGAAGTTGAAAAATCTTGATTTTGAACACCCTATATCTCTGTAATCATTTTCGCTAGACCCCAAGTGTGATCCATTGATGAAATCAACTCTTCAGGGAGATTATGAAAATACAATGAAAAATAGGATGTTCCATTTAAAAAATAGTTCCCTGTATATCGTTTGTTTCGAGCACCTTGTATTTTCTGATGTAGCGGAAAAAACTCTATCGAAAATCATTTTAGATGATATTTAAAATTTTGCAATTGGTTCAAAAATAACTGAGCTAGAGGGGGAGGGGGGGGGATTTATGGCGAATCACCCTGTATCTGATGATACTGCATTACATACAATTCCTACAATAATGTATACGAATTTTGATACGATTTTCTTGCTGTCAACTGAGATATCCAGATTACTCTCCATTTTTCTGAGGTATTTTGGTGATATCATTCTGAATGAAGAAAACGCGATACGTGAGGAATAGCTATTTTTTATTTCAACTTACTCATAGGTCAGAGCGGTTGATGAAAATTACCATATTTCGATATCAAGTTCGAAAAGTTTCCTAATGGGGAAAATAAAAATTAATATGATGGAAATGGATGATTATAATAGCTTTACAGATAGAAGATTTAGAATTTATTGAAAATTCGAGAACGAAAACATTGTTTTCCTACGACCACCTATGAAAACAGCACAAAACACATTGATTTGTTATTGAGAAAGTGACTCGTTTCACTATGACAACATATAACAGTTAGAAAGTTCGAAAGCAAAACTCACATGGGTGGAAATATTCGAAAATCGCACAGTAACAGGGCCTCTATAGATTATGATGTACCAATGAATGATTATTATGCTGAATAATGGTAAGTTAAGTTATGGTCAAGTTAATGGAAAGTTAGTGTCGATTTAACATGAGTTAATTTTGGCGTAATGTTAAGTTGATGAGTGATTAATGTGAAATTAATGTCAATTTGATATTGAGTTGAAGTTGAAGGAAAGACGATAAACAAATATTGAATTAATTTGGAGTCATTTTATTGATTATACCTGACCTGACAAACGTTGTTTTGCTATGTACAGAGTGGCCAACTAAGACACCAGAGTTCGATACCCCTGTTGTCTTGAGAGATACAAAAATAAAGTTTTGCATTCAAATTAAAGTGATAACCGAGCTTCACATTTCGAAATTTCTTTGAAATACACAGGGTGTTCCGTAAGGTCACAGCACATCAAAGCTATGTTTTTTTTATTGGAGCACCCTATATTTTATTTCATTTTTGAATTCTCCCTGAAGAGCTGATTTCAACGACCCATCATACTTAGGGTCTAACAGTGAAAGTTACTGACATATAGGGTGTGCAAAATCGAGATTTTCCAAGTGCAGGATTCTTTTCTGTCGAAACTGTTCATTATTCGTCAAAACGGTTTACATGTCCCTTTCTCAACTTTTCACTCACTATCAATTGGTGTTTAATGTACCCGCGTTTTTTCATCAAACTTATGTAGAGGTCAGTTCGAGTAGTTATGATTTTCAATGGTTCCTGGTCGGAAAAGTATTCTAAGATAGTTTCTTGGATTTTTTCATTCGTGCTGGTCTTTTTGAGAATAACCAAAGTCTGGGAAATATCTTAAGGCGAGTTCGTAATTGTAAAAAGACTAAAAAGAGTAACTCCAAGTGACTCCGGGTAACTCCTATACGTTCGGTATTGACAAAACAGTTCACTCTGTGTTCATGTAGAGTCGATTTTCGATCGTTCGGAATCTAAAAACTGGGCAAATAGAACTCATTCTGATGACTCTTTCATAAATCAGGAGTTTCGAGAGTTCCTCCTTTTTTACGTCAAAATAAACATCAGACGTCGCCAATTTTGACGCTCATCCTGTCTGGCCTTCTAACTAAAGCACTTTTCTCAACAGAAATTTCTGGATGACCCTTAGGTGTAACATGAAACTCTGTAGTCTTTCCAATAAATGTTCGAAAGTATTGGAATCCATTCGAAAATGGATTTTTAATTAATCCTAAGTCATACGTCCAATTCCGCGTTCAAGATAAACAATATCTTCTTTGGGTTGTTCATGATCTTCTTCATCATTATCACAAAAGAAGTAGAAAGCAAATCTTACTACACAACCGATCGCTCGCCTTTTATTATTCCTTATTCCATATTATTGTCCATTCTGCAAATGCGAGGGTTTCACGAACACAAAATCCATCAAATCTTATGTGGCTGCGGCAGGAGCACTGAAGGTACGCGAGATGGGTTTGATCCGAATGATCTCTAACGCCTAACACGACTAACGAAAATAAAATATTGATAGGGAACAAATTGATGAATGTGTTTGAGACCACAATAGGTCGCGTGCACGATGACCGACCCTGGAGGCAAAATATTGAAACACAACCTCATTCTTCTGTTAATTATTGAAACACAACCTCACTTCTTCACTTGATTACAGAGGAATCAAAGGATTGAAATAATTTTTCACAATATTTTGGCATACGAATCGTGTTTTTTTCGCTATTCATTAATTCCAGCATGCCTTCGCATTGTGCTGTTGTACAATGCACAAAAAATGCAGCAAGAGACTGAAGAATATGATTTTTCAGGCAAATAGTAATCTTACATAGTTATTATGAAATGTTGTCATTCCTTATTAAAATTCCTTCTGCCTTCTGTCACTTCTGCAAAACAAGCTAATACTGCTAATAGATTGAAAATGTCTACAACACACACGATCGTCAGCATGTCAGACCAGTCCTCCCGATTGATTGCATGAATCCAATTTTCTGGCATCATTTTAGAAATTTCAGATGTATTTCTATTAGCTTCTATCGCAGAAAGAATTCCGATGAGAAATCAGAGAAATTACCAAATTTCAAAAATGAAAACTATATGTGAGTGACTATATATAGTAGGTACTCACTTTTGAATCATATTGTACCAACCGGATTACTTCGTCTTCCGCTGCAGTTTTTGTGCATTTCACAACAGCATAATGTGATGGCATGAGCGAATTGATGAATAGCAGAAAAATACGATTCCTATGCCAAAATAATTGTGAAAAACTATTTCAATCACTTATAAACAAATAAGTAAAGTGACGTTGTGTTTCAATATTTTGCCTCCAGTGTCGGTCATCTGACAGTTCTTGCACGCAACCCATAAATGTGTTGGTAAGGTTAGGAGCTGTCAGTGTCATGGAGCAAAGGGAAGCGCGAAAGCGTACCCCAACCTGATCTCTCGACTCTTCAAATCACGTGGTCTGAATCCATGCAAATGCTACTCTAACCCCACTCTGACTCCACTCCGTATTTCCGAACTCGCCTTTTTACATGGTGTAGACGGGCTCAAAGTATTATGCGCTGTTGCAATATATAGGGTGATTCAAAATTCGATGTAAATACACTCTCCGGCAAAAAAAACGACCACAAAAAAAAATTCCCAAATTGTTCATCTTGTAACTTTTTTAATACTTGTCCGATTTGTGTGAAATATTGATCAAATTGTATATTTATGTTCCGGAATGTTAGCCTGAATATTAGTTTCCGTGGAAATCTGATGACTTGATATTTATGTAGGGAAAAACCTAAGTTACCATTTCATCCTTTACTTCTATTAACGCTCTGTGGTAATGAGTGGTTGAACGTTGCTTCATTATGCTTCGGATTGAAGTGTGATTCCTTCTTAACACAATTGTTTTAAAAAATTATGGCATTTTTCAATTGTTATTAACAATAAACAGAACCTACATAAACTCATTGAATAACAACTTGAAGAATTAATAAAACGTATAGGTAGGTAAAGTTGTTCATCTTTCGCTCCAAAAGTTTGCCGTGTAAAAATGCAAAATCTCGTAATACACTCACCGGCAAAAAAAAACAGCCACAAAAAAATTGATCATCCTGTAACTTTTTCAATCCTTGTCCGATTTGTGTGAAATTTTGATCAAATTGTATATTTATGGTCCGGAATGTTAGCCTGAATATTAGTTTTCGTGGAAATCTGATGACTTGATCATTATACAAGGAAAACCAAAGTTACCATTTCACCCATTACTTCTTAACACCCTGTGGCGAAATTGTGGGGTTGAACGTGGCTTCATCATGGTTCGGATTAAATTGTCTTGATACTTCTCAGTGACAATAATTGGTGACGTTGGCAATCAAATGAGTTACAGAATATTTTCATTAATTAATCTTGAATTCACCATTTTCAATACGAATTTTTGCCATACAAAAATCTATTTTTTCTGTGACGGGAAAAAAGTTTGGCATTTCATCTCTGTTGGCAGGTTATAAAATGTCACTTTTCATAAATTACTTTTTTCCCGTGGGAAAAAAGTGAGTACTTTTTTCCCGGATATATATCACATATATATACTCTGTTAATGGCTTTTGTTGTGCTATAGTTCCGAAAAATGAGTCAATAATACCGTCTCCGAGAAAGAACTGCAAGTCCTTTTATCTTCCATTCGACTTCGCGGTTTCGTATATTACTAAACAACTACTAAATTCGCAATTTTTCAAAATCAAATCACAGAATTGAACTGACAGAAGTGACATCAGATATTTGATTACTTCAAGAGAATGATAAAGATGTCTATAAAACGCAGGTGTCCCTACTGTTAAAAACTTGAAAATTTCACGTCGATAATTTTCAGATTTCGAAATAATGTAATATCTTCTCAATATTGATTCGTCCTTCCTTCTGTCACAGAAAAAAATAGTGTATTATACACGGGAAAAATATTAGATTTTAGCTCACGGTTTTTTGTCTCCCTCCGCTACGCGTCGGGAGACAACACAACCTGGAGCTAAAATCTACTACTTTTTTCCCTTGTATAATAAATAACTATTTTATGTTGAAAACGGGAGGAGATTCGTTCCCGAAACGTCCAGAGATAAGTGAAAATTTGATATTTTTTCAATATACCTTTATTTCTCTTCTCCAAACCTTTTCAATACAAATTGTCACTGATATACTAGTGAATTTTTATTTTAAGCTCTCTGATAGGAAATATTCTTTGAACGCAGTGAAATTTTGAGGCAAATCATCTGATTCGTCCTTACTACACGAATATTGAAATGATTGAAATTTTTATTTCATTGAGACGAGAGAAAATCCCAAAAAATCTGGAATAATGAAAAACATACTTTCTTAAAACACTTGTATATTCTCTTAAAAAGTTGTTATCCACGTGAATCAAAAACCGCTATGTTAAGAAGGGATCATACATCAATCCAAAACATAATGAACTCAAGTTCAACCACTCACCTTTTCCACAGGGCGTTAGGAACTTGAGGGTGAATGAGTATTGAGTAACTTTTGTTTTTCCGTGTATAATGGACAAGTCATCAGTGTTTCTTAGAACCTAATATTCAGGCTAACATTCCGAAACATGAATATATCATTTGGTCGAAACACAAAAATCGGACGAGAATTAAAAAAGTTACAGGGCGAATAATTTAACAAAATTTTTTGGTGGCCGGTTTTTTTTGCTGGTGAGTGTATTTCAAGGACTTGTTGGGATCAAAATAAGACCTTTTCTTCATATAAACGTGTCCTAAAATTCACCCCATTTCGGCCAATAAAAATGAGGACCCCACCTCAAACTGGGTTTACATAATTTTTGAAAAAAGAATTAAAAAAGGTGTCTGAAAGAACAAGGGCCTGCCAATTTTCAGAAGATTTGATCTGTTATTTTAGTCACGATTTCAGAATATCTTTTTCCTTCACCAACCTTACAGTGGCTGTAGCTTGGAGGGGGTGAATTTTAGGACACATGTTTATATGAAAAAAAGTGTTAATTTGATCCCAACAATATGTCCTTAAAATATTTACATCGAATTTTGAATCACCCTGTATAATCTGCAACTAGAAAATAGATCCGTTATGAAAAGGAATCAATTCATTTGCAAAATAATGACTGACAAGTTATGAGTATCAATTTTTAATATAACGAAAATGAAAAATTATATATACTATCGCAAAATATCATGATGAATCTTTATTAGTTAGTAATCAACTTCATCCAGCAAATGGAAGATTTATGAAAATTATTCATAAAACTATACGAAGTAATATTAAAAAACCAATTATAGCCCATTACTGTTATGATATAATATTGTATTCAAAGAACAATTTCCAGAACTCTAGATATATTGATGATGCCGGCAACGTCGCACTGACACTGACATCGTATTTTAAATCTGTGTGAATATGGCTTAGCTTTCTAGTTGATATAATTCAATTCTCAGGAACATACTGAAATATACAGTGAGTGACAGAAAATCGGCAATCTGCAACCCAAAGGCCTTTTTGTCAGTATTGAAGCAGTGAAACTATTAAGGCACAATAGTTTTAGTGCTCACTGGGTACAAAAGGAATCGGAAAAAGAATCTGATACTTCATTACAACGTGAAACATAAAAGTGACTAAGCTGGAGTTAGTCCTACTCATGAAGTTTTCAAAGGTGGATTGAAAAAAACATTGATATAAAATTGTGTTTATAACTTAATTTTAGTTTTTTGTCCAGTTTTACTTGAATTATTGAGTTGTTTGAATGATTATCAAAACAATACAAATGTTTATGATAGAAATATAAGGGAAGAAGAAACCAGTTCCACAACTCAATTGATAGAATTAAAAACGGGGTTTACATAGGTGGATGTATGATTCATATTTGAGACTGTTCATTCATATCAAGCCAACATCATGATGTCAAGTTATTATACAGTGCCCCTTTAAAGTTTCCCCCTCCCATTAACTTTTGAACGGATGGAAAATAAACAATTCAGATTTGTAATTGTCAAATTGGATGATGTGAAACCACTTTTAGCTGAAAAAAATTGAATTTCAAATTAAGATGGCGGAGTGTGAGAACAAATTTTTTTATGAAAAAATCAAAATGTCCGCACTTTTTTTTTGATAAAATCTGACAATCCATTATTGCTCAACCATAATAGAAGAATTATTCAAATCCGAAAAAACAAATTGCATTTCTAGCAAAAAAAAACAAGTTTGGAAAAAAATATGGCAGCATGATGCCTGTTTGAAGGAAATAATCAATACCCTTGGCCCATATCGGCCGATATTGATATATTGACCATCAAATTTTGCTGTGAATGAATTTAATTATAATTATATACCTGCCTTACTTACTTTCACATCTTATCACTTTTTTGTTAAATTTTAAATGAGAATGAACTTTTTTCCATGCAGTATTTGTTATATAATTTCTTTAAAAGATTCTTAGTAACTGAAAGAATAAGATATTTATTTTTCCATTAAGCCAAGCTTTACATATTGGCAGCTACCAATATCTACCAAGAAGGTCTATATACCATAGATCCCTAATCAATAGGCACCAGTTAACCAAAAATATTTAGAACTGATCCAGCATTTTTTTGATGTACCAATTTTAATTATCCGAAAAATATATAATTGTGATGATTTTGAATAATAATGAATGCAACAAATACATGGAAGATAAAGATAAAACAGGTATGAGATATCAGATTTGATACATGTATGCTTACCCAGTAATATGATAGTGTTTTTTACTGTTGCTGTTAAAATTTGAATTTGAAGGTGTATATTTGACAATGAATAAATATTAATACTCACCTTGTGTGAATAATTTTGAAAATAGTTTGTTCCTAACCTAACCTGCCAAACTTCTTGAAATGAAAACAAGTGACAGAATGTAAAATAACAGTTACTAAAGAAACATGTAGACATGAATTTTGTCTGAATGAAAAAAAATCTTTATAGTAGCCAAATTGCCAGAAATTGATAATTACTTGTATTTGTTCCTAACCTAACCTGACCAAACTTCTTGAATTGTAAACAAGTGACAGAATGTAAAATAACAGTTACTGAAGAAACATGTAGACATGAATTTTGTCTGAATGAAAAAAAATCTTTATAGTAGCCAAATTGCCAGAAATTGATAATTACTTGAATTGAAAATCAAGTAGCACCCTTGCTTGCCAATTTTGAGTATCCTCCAGTAGATTAGATTGTTTCACAGGGCTATAATAGTACTGATGTTGTAATGTGATGTTTTTAATTACCTAACCTGGGAAGGTGGAAATGAGGAAACCAGCCATAATATTTCTTGGCTTCAAGGAACAAATCTGAAGTGTGAATTTATGAAAAATCGTCACATTACTAACCTTTTTTGGAGTTTTCTTAGTGGCTGCTGTCACCAGCTTATTGAATTTCTCCTCAGAATCATCTCTTGACTTTCGCATTGGTGTCCCTTGTTCTTCAGGTAGTTCCAGTTGGTAATTTGGATCTTTCTACAATAAGAACATGGAATTAGATCAACAGGCTAAGTCAACATTTTAGTAAAAACCCTCAGAAACTCAGGCATAATACAATTTATAATGATAATTTGAAGTGTTACTTTCATTAAGAGATGATGACTCAACACTATGCAACAATACAAATAAAGTCAGCTTGAATGTATACATATTATAAGAGCAAAATGAAATCAGGAGTTAAATTATAGAAAATCATCATAATAAAAATTTCAACAGCAGGATGTTTGCTATGCAAAAAGTGGATATTGACTCATCAGGAAATTGTTCCTACTAGAAAGATATATTTCAAAAAACAAGTAGGTAATGTTTTCCTAACTAAAAATGCAAAAGTACCAACAGGACTTTTGAAAAAACAAAGTAGCCTGAGTTAGGTATTGTGTTAAACTAAAAAGTAAAAGCTGCAAAAAATGGTCAAAACTCAGAATGATTCAAACATGAACATCTCAATTCAAACTATGTGATTTGAAGAAAATGCAGCTGCAAATTCTGAGTTGAGTTTTACTTACAATGGAGTGTATGAAAAATTATGTCCTTTCTTTACTATGTCAGAAGAACATCTATGACTACATCTAAGACTTAAGAGAGCCTATTAGCAAAATATTGCACTGTATCCCAATATACCCCAATTACATCAGCTGATAGTAACTTTATATAACACTTTGAAACAATGTTTTTTTAACAAACCTCCAAGTTAGCAATATATGCCTCAATTTCAACAACGGCCTTCTTGAAAAGCACACTGCTACACAATGAGGTGAACTTTTCCTTATAGTCAGCATAGGGCTTGATATTGGCATTTTCGATCCATCCACTGAAAGATAGAATAACGTTTGAGAAAATATGGTTTGATAGATGCATCATTTGATTAGATATGTATGCACTCACTAGTTGTTAGAGCCGAAGAAATACACCCATTTACACCCTCTTTTAGTTGGTCTCGGGGTGCTTGTGGAGGGTTGAACAATCTGAAAATGAAAATAAACATTCAGGTTAGATTTTCTCTTAGTGACGCGCGCAAGCTAACGGTTGGATTGAATCTGGCGGCGGCAGAATACTCACACAGGATGGCCAGGGTGTAAATCTCTTCATTTTGGACCTGAAAAAAATTAAAAAATATCACCACACGTTCCTGAACACGTGGATGATGCCCACGATTTTTTTTAAATGCTTACCACACCAAATCCATAACTTTAAATTCTGCGGACATTGTACGACCCTGCTTCAAACACAAATTCTCTGAAACTGAAGTTTATTTTTCTCTTCCCAATGGGTGGGCTGACGCTTCATTCGGCGCATGGGCAGAATCTGTCGCTGTCAACACCTTGTCAACTGTCAACGAAGTTTGCCGGATAGCCCTAGTAGCTGTGGCAAATAATTTCAGTAACAAAGGAATCATTAGGATAAGGGCAATTTCATGTTATATCTGAAAAGTAATCTATATATTTTCATACAAAATGTGGTCCGTCAATCTATGAACGCTACAATGGGTATCTTTTTCGATATTCTACCTTAGCCACCCTTAGCCCTTACACGTTCTTCTTCTTATTTATTAGCCTTCAATAATATCGGACATTCATTCAATTTCTTCTTCTAATGCTTATTTCTTGTCTGATACCGGACATACACCCAAGAGTCCTTGTAAATAATTCTCTTTGGAATATTTTCAATTCAATTCGATGAGGATTGGTTTATCTTACTTCCATCATTGTTGCGCTAATGATATTACATCGTTGTTGTGCTTAAAGTTTGAATAAAGGCAAGGTGATCGACCGTTGTGGGCGCTGTATCAAAAACAAGATGGCGACGTTATCAGGGCGCTTTGTTTACATTTACATATTTTGGTTTTGGTGTATCGCATACATTTCATTCCTGCTATTTAATCGTGTTGTGTTAAAGGCTAGATCATACAGTATCATACTCCATACTGTATGATCTAAGGTTAAAGGGCTTTCACACAGGGTTGATAGTGACGTCAATATGTCAACACATACAGTGTTGCCAGTTGAAAGGAAATGACTGAATGACCAACCGCCCGAATATGGATATGTCTACTGTTACGATCGTCGGACGTTATAATGTTTTTTAGAACCTCAAAAGCCGTCCATTTATGTTTCAAAATCAGCTCAAGTTGATAAATGAACTTCAATATTCGTATTCAATGAACCATGAACCTAAACAATATACTGAATATGAAATTTGATGATAATGAAATTCTTATAAAGAATAATAACTTGAAGAATGATGTTATCAGGTACAGTCGAATTTTGTGTTCGCAATTGATAAAATACGCGAAAGGAATTATTTATCGTTCCAAACGGAGTGTTCACTTGAAAATGAGTGCAAGTGTAGTGTTTTTGTATTCCTCATTTAATTCAGTGATTACATTATCGCAATCGTGTGCTGTTCTGGTGTTTCGTGTTGTTTGATCAAAGCATTTTACACGCTGGTGAGTAGAGAGACATTTTCTCAAGTTTTCCTCATATTTCCATTTTTACTTTCAACTTCATTACCTTACATGTTTTCACAATCACAAAGGTACCGTTTGTTAATTTGTTGAATATTTTACGATGAAGATATACTTTCTTCTGATTTTCGTACTTTCCGTTCAGAACGGTATTCTTTCAGAAGCAAATAATACGAAAAGAGCAAACCAGAAGAAAATGAGACGATTCGAGATTATTTCATGAAAACATATTTTTTGGCTATACAGGGTGTTTCAGATATAAATGTACATACATCGATGTGTCTACCATCTTTTATAACTGTGATACAGAACGTAATCTTGATTTTGGTAAAATCTTTCTCTGGTCAGCTCATAACTTATGAACCATGGTGTATAATCGATTCATATTCGATATATATATTCAACTTATATTACTACTTTTCAACAGGGTGCATCCAATTTTACTTTTTTGTTCATCATTATTTTTCGAAATAGAATTTTTGTTGAACTCCTAATTCAAAGTCCAATTTTATCACAAAAAAACAATCAGTCCTCAAAGTTCAACTTCATTAGAGTCAAATTAGGTGAGCTATCGATAGTTTTCATTCCATAGAATAATTGTTGATTAGATATTTTCAAGTGCTCGTTATATTTTCAGTATTTCAAAAAATAATGATAGTTGGAAAGTTATACATGGAATTCTTTTTTTTAATCCTACTTTCAAGGTCAATATCTCCGAAACGAAGCGCGTTATACTTTTTTTTATATGAAGTACCAACATTATTTTGGCTCACTCTATCAGTCCCTATCATTTACAACATTACCTTTCCGTACATACTGTATAGTTTGCAACTCTTTCCAAAAACCATTTTTCACTCATTTGGGATTGAATCAAAGTTGCCAATAACATTTAGATAGCTGTAGACACAACAGAAATACCATGGAAACAAAACAGGCATTTTTTGACATCTCTGTCATCGGTCTTTGAATTGAAATGGGTTATTCAGCAGTGGAAAAATACGAAATAGTATAATTGTTATATTATGAGAATATTGCGGAAACTTGAGTAATGCAGCAAAAATTTAGTCTAAATCGGATTTCTCTTCCAGATTAACAAGAAAACAGACAGAAAGCAAAGTGTTTGATACTTGCCACTAAGTCGGAGAAAACCATCCAGTCAAGATGAACCGAACAAAACATCTGCAGAGAACTGACCAGAGTGAATTTTTCAAAATTCAGATCCTTATATTCGTACGGAAGGCGATATATTGATTTCCTGTCCAGATTCATTCTCGAGCAAACAGATAGACATATATTCACCTTTATGTCTCTATGGAAACACGACAGGTACCCTTACGAGGGGAGAGTATCAACTCGGCGTTTATAAACCCTCTCTGCAAAGGAGGTCGGCGCATGGTGGGTTAGGTATATACAGTGTTTTTCATTGCAGAGAAAATCGTTGTTTATCTGCCTACCTCGTCTGCATTGAGAGAGTTGATGAATAATCATAAAAATATATCGCGTTTCAGTTACGAATGTTGAAAACAATATTGAGACTTCGTAGATTTATAGTCTATGTACGTGTCACGATTCGAATTTCAAATTGATGCTTAGTTTAAGATCCGAGCAGCACACTGTTTGGCATTCATGGTCCTTATTATAACCCACGAAATTCAAAATGTAGCAGATGTCTACTGGGAAAACCACTATTCGGAAGGAGAGCGAATATGTAGCAATACATCAGTTACGGTTGTTGGAAATATTATTCAGGTATGTTTCAGATTCGACATCCATGTTCCACCTCTCATGAAAATCTTTTCTAATTTTCATGGATATTTTGATATGTGATGTTTAGTTGCAGATCCGAAAAACAAAGTGTTTGATACTTGTCAAAAAATCGGAGAAAACCATCCGGTCAAGACGAACCAAACAGAAGATCCGCAAAGAGAAATGACCAGAGTATACTTTTCAGAATTCAGATCCTTATATTCGTACGGAAGGCGATTTAGTGATTTCCTTTCCAGATACACTTTCAAGCAAACAGATAGACAGATATTCACCATTATGTCTCTATGGAAACACGGCAGGTACCCTTACGAGGGGAGAGTATCAACTCGGCGTTTATAAACCCTCTCTGCAAAGGAGGTAGACGCATGGTGGGTTAGGTATCATACATTCCATACCACAACCAGGAGATATTTCATATGACCACAACATACTTATAGCTGCAGCCCCAGGGAAGCTAATATGAAGAAAGGAACATTTCAACTCACAGAAGTTTCAACAAATATTCCAATTTTGTCATGTGTAGAATAATGTTTGCAAAGGATTTATCCTTCAAAACAGCTCTTGAGGTTACCGTGGATTTATAGTACATATCATCAATGGCCCAACCTCAGCAAGATTACTTCTAGCATCTTGGAGGATTTTTTTATAGCACCATAGATATATTGTAAACCTGCAAAACTCTCACAGGTACCTTGTTCATGAATGGTGCTCCACTGCAACAATAATAGCAAATTGTCATGATCCTATATGTGTGTGATTTGTATCCACATCAAGTGTACTCATTACAATATACTTACCCACATCAAGTTAAGGTAGGTGGTATCCTAGATTTGGTGGTCATCTATATCTTGTGAAATTAGTTTTTTTCACCATTTTGATGAAATCTGAATATCTGGAGTTCCACAACATAAAACTTTGTTCAGAGGACTTAGATGATTTTTGTAAGTGATTATAGGTAGATAATTATTTCTTGGTATCATTTTGTTATACTGAAATTATATGAACAAAAATATCTATCTATGTATTTTGTGTTCTGGAACTGAATTAATTGATTAATATACAATTTGAAATACGAAGGATATGTTCAGCTACCGAAATAATCATTGATATTTCCTTAACTTGAATGAAATTCAAGGAATGAACAGAAACAAGAAAACACTGATTATATATTATGAATCTGGGTTTTGGTTAAACATTTTGTAGCTTTTCGCACTCATTAGCAAGATACCTTGGAATCTGAATGACAACTCTTCTTCCTTGCTGTAAATTTAAAAAGATGTTAGTATGGTCCTAAATAAAACATTTATAAATACCTAGATATTTGATCTGTTGGTTGTATAGAATTGTTTGAATCAAGGTAAAATGCTTCTATTTTGCTCATGTATAGCTGTATTTTAACTTAATAGTTTTGATTCATGATTTATAAAATAATGTAGAATTGTGTCGGTAATTGATGAAATATCAAATAAATGAACAGAATAACGAACAATAACAAAAATGACCCTGAATGCGCTGATAAACTGGTTCAAATGGGCCCACCAGATGACGTATCGGAATCTTCACCTTGCCAATGGTGGAAACAATAATCTATTTTTTTCATTGTCTAGCTCTTTCTCTATTTTGAAAAATTCCAAATACGTCTGGGAGTTCTAGGACTCAATTGAATTTGGGATATATGTAGGTAAATGAAAATTAATCTCAATTTCAAACCTGGTTTATCATACTGCTGTTCTACTGATTACATTTCGCTTCATAATTATAATAATATCATATGAACCTATATAATAAAAAAAATCAGTCGAATTTTCCAATGGCCAAACAATTACCAATAACCCAAATGTTACAAGTATAATTCATGCATCATGTTGAACATGTAAAATATAGAGATGTAAATACAGAGATTAAGATGATATGTTTTCAAACAAGACCACCACCCGATATATACAAAATATCAACTGAAAATAAAACACTAACCAAGTTGAAGTGTTCAAATATTCAGAAAGTTCATTTTGAATGACTGAAGAGAAAACAGGGAAAGTAATTCAATAAATTCGCAAAAAATAACACCAAATTTATATTTTCTCTGCTTTCACAAATAAATAATGAACTGCTTTTGAAATATGTGGCACCCGCGTAAAATATCTAAATAAATGGGTAACAATATTTCATAAGATCATAGAATAATTTACTTAGTTACTTAAGTTTGATTCACGTTATTTTGATATAATTCAGATAAATTAAAGCTAAATATACATGGTAAGAGCATGTAAAAGTTATTACTCATGAAAAAATCCAAATATATTTTGCAGACTTGATTATCAAACTTATTAGAGTAAAAACTGATATAATTATCATTTTTCATTGAAATTGTGTTTTGTGGGTTACATATTATATTTAGTTGTAGTTATACTCCAGAACTCAGAATATTATCGTAATTACAGATTTGTCAGAATAGAGCAATGTCAGCTGACGTCAAAACATGGCGCACTCGTCGTTTTTATCAGCTGATCGGGGGACATACAAAGTTGTATGTGAATTTTGATTTTATTATTACTGACCCATCGGTGATTTTGTTGAACTTGTAGATATTATGCGAGAAGAATGTGTTCATTTTCTTCCAAAATGAGTATCTATTGAGGTATATTACGAGGTATATTTGGTATATTAGAGCTGAACTCAAGTGAATCCAGTAATTTGAACTCTTTTTTGGACTCATTCACTTTTCTCACAGCATTCATGATGAATGAATCAACATACATGTCAATAAATAAATGCTCCAGGTATTGTATTTTAGTGGGAAATGTGCAAGAAAGTTACATGTACTCTTATGGAAAATGTGTATGCCTGTCCCCCCATCAGCTGTTCAATGGCCGACAATTTTACGTCATATGACGTCATTGACATTGCTCTATTCTGAAGATGGCAGAATATTGAGACAATTTTCAGTTTTTTAAGTTTGGAGAAAATTTTTAATTTTACATATTCTGTGCATGGAACCTTGAGAAGACAATGAATATTACTGTCCCTCATTAGAAAAATTTCAGTTTACTACAAATCATTTTTAGCCAGCCACAAATTTTTTTAGCAGCCATTTTTTGGAAAAAATCAAAGACTTGCCAGTAACAAGAAATCCCTTAGCATCACAAATTTTGTGGCCAAAAATTATCTGTACAATTACACAATGAAATGATAATTTACATGTCATGATTTTTTGTGGTATTTTGGGTATATTTTTATGTGACGTCTTCTAAGTAGCTTTTATTTCAGCAATTTCAATAATCTAGAAAATTGAATACTTAATTATTATATCAGTTGATCTCAATGAGAAAGTATATTAGTTGCAAACTAACTGATAATTAAATAAATAAATAGTGAGCTTGAATATCATACAATGAATGAACACAGTAGTATCATTTTAATCCTATACATTCACCTAGTTCCAATTAAATAGTAGATATAAAGTTAGTCTTGAATATTTACATTTTTTTGTACACTTTGGCCATATTAAAGCATAGAAAAAGAGTGAATCAATTGATTTACGTTAAAATTACTACTTAATCTATGTTAACTAAAGATTGCACTATAATAAAGAATATTACTAGAGATAGCTGAATACTTATTCTGAATGAAAAAGTAATGAATGAATTAATATTGAGTAATGCTTTTATCACAACGACTTAATTGTTCACTGGTTAAATTAGTGATTATAAATGCACAGAAGAATGTTTTCAAATAAAAAATGCATTTTTTAAGCATAATTCACATGGCACTGGTGGGCAAATAAATATATTCATACTGTAAAAGCCCAACATGAATCATAACAGGCAGTGACAAATCAAATGAATTAAATTCAATGGAAGAACATATTTGTAAATGAATTCCTAAATGGTCAAAATAATTACCTATTATTCATTTTGATCCAAGAGATTTCCATCTCATGAATGTCGAATTTGTACTATATGAAAATTTGCTGGTACAAAATGTTATGGTTTTCCAAAAATGTGAAAATACCTATTCCAATTTATATGCATTATTAGTTCCATGATAGATATTCATCAATTCATTATTAAAACTGATTAAACCAAAACACCGAGATAAATATTAATAATTATTATCACACCAAAGCTATTATCTATATAGATATATATTTCCTGAATTCAATTTCAATAATCAATTATAGAATTCTCATTTCATCAAGAAGGACCCTATTTATTTGAGATCAGAACATAGCCTGCTTCTGGTTTCTCTCTTTGCAAATCTCAGAAAGAGAAAATTATCCAGAATTGTTACATTTCAGAGAAAGAGAGAGAGAGGGTGAGAGAGAGAAAGAGAGAGATATTATTAAATAGACAAGATACTGAATAAAAAAATTTCAATGTTGTAGAATTATTGCTTATAACTTATAACTCTATAAATATGTGTATAAAATCGAATTCCATACAACTTTTTTGAATAACTTTTTTCAATATCTCTCCATATAACCTATCTAGCTGCCTATTCAGTATTTTTGCCAATTTGCTATACTCCTGATCACATGACATGTTACGAAATCGATTTTCGCCAAGAAAATCAAATCCTATACGCAAATAATGAACTTTTTCCTCATCCATCAAGTTACGGACTTGAAAAACTCATGAAATTTTGAATTGGATTCAAGATTCAAAAAGTCTGACTACGAAGGTGAAACAAACTCGACTTTTCTGGTCAACATGTTCAACATGCCGACCCAAACAACCTAATAAGTGAGGTTGTTTGATCTCCAGGCAGTGCTGTTCCAAGGAAGAGAATTGTACTAAACTGAATCAAATGGGGAAGACTACTCTGAGGGAGTTGTTTATCGTCCTAGTATGAATGAAACTATTCAAAATTATATTTACTGGTAGTTTTTTGGTATAGAGCTCACGAGGATGTTGTTTTAAAAAATAAGTGCACTTAATTAAAAAAATGATAAAAATTTTAAAAATCAAAATAGATAATTCGCTCTTCATTTTCCATTCTCAGAATATTATTCACAGCGTGAAGAAAGAGGAGATACTAAGGAATTGAAATAACATATACACAGGAAGAATTGTACTAAATTGAGTTGACAGGTGTTGCCCACTACTTATTTAAGTAAAATTGTGAGGTATGGAACATCACTGCCTTGAGGACTAAGGTCATCTGTCAAACAAATGGTCAAGGTGAATAACCTAACCTAACCGAACATAACCTCAATAGCTCTCGACGAAACTGGCGGGGAACAAGCCAGTCTTGCCGGTGCGCTGTTGCGTACCTTTGTACCAGCCATCTTCCCTCTTCTTGTGCACGTAGATGATGTCGTCGACCTAAACAATGTTGCCGATAAATAAAATTTGCAGGCATGTGATTCATTGAATGGAGAAATACTTTCATTCCGAAAATCACACAAAACGATGAAAAAAATGGTTCTTATCAAACAACGCAATTGAATATAATTATGTTGATATAAACAATGAGGAGGTTTCCAATATTGAGGTATTTAACCTCACTGTGAAGTTTACAAAATCAACCCGCAAGACCCTCCTAATTTGGAACCCGTCGACCGATTATCAAAAACAAAATTCCCATGAAATAGTACTCAAGGAGCTCTTTTCGAGAATGTGAACAAATTTGAAATATTCAGATTATCAAGGCCAATTTTGTTTGTTGAAGGGGTCCAAATTTCAAAACGACTATGAGGCAAAACTAGCCTATACAATTCAGGCATAGCTGAAATACCTCCACCACTGATTCATTTATTTAATAGCTGAAATATCTCCATCACTGATATTTATTCAAAAAACTGAATAAAACCTGACTCTATATTCCTTGCTATTTTCTTCATTGGAGTTCAATTATTTCAGAGACAGGAATGACGTTACATTAGCGCGGTTAGCAATGTTTGCCTAGAGTGAGTAGTTTAAATAGAGTGACGACAATATACCTCCAAATGACTTCCGTTTCGAGAATGTCATTCGTGGTCAAGCTACTGAATAGCTACAAATCTGAAGGGTATCTCCCATGCCGGAATGAATTTGCGCCTTCGAAGTGCCTACCTGATGTTAGGTTTACATATTCGATATTTTCATTTCATCATCTAAATAATCTAAGACCCAAAATACATATTTTAATAGTTAATGTTAATATCCAAGGTACTGACGTGTAGAGTTTAATGTCTGATTGTTGGATGTTTTGTGTCCACATAGCAAAAAACCTGGATGGACCTCCATATTGAAGGTCTAACCAATAAAAAAATGTACCACTATTGTCGCCATTCTATGTTTGCCTATGTCGCCGTGGTCGCCAGCCGAGAGTGGTCGAGAGTAGGACTTTCGGATCACGGCTATGCGGTGTTGCATTTCTCTCGCCGCGGTTTGCCATAGAGCCGGCTGTGCTGTGGCCAGTGTTGCCGTTTCAGAATTTCAATTCGTACTAGAAGTCCTTCCGAAATTGTACTAAATTCAAGTATATTGTACTAAATTCAAGTATATTGTACTAAATTGAGAAAAATAACACTTCAGAATTTACGATTTACACATTTGATGAAAAACTTCATATTCATTCATGAAAATTTTGAATAATAATATATTCAGCTCATTAAAACACCTCTGAAAAACGTAGGTCATGAAACAATTATTATAACTAAGAAAAGCCGATAATAAGAGATGAAAAAGAACAGATCAGATTACAGATTGAGATCAAATACTATCATACTATTAATAAGATAATATACAGGGTGTCTCAAAAAAACCTAACGCCCTTGCTAGGGTAGGTAGAACATTGCAAAATAAGTTGGGTTTGCTCAGTAGAAAAATGTCGTAAAGCCATCCGTTTTCAAGATACAAGGTGTTGGAAAAATTCTTTCTCTGCACATTTTTCACGATTATGTTGAAACTACTGGCAACATTGTAATGAAATTTTGTATGGATGTTTTTTTGAAAGCTGACACATCACATGAATTTGTTTTTATATCTGACATTCATAACACGAAAACGGTACACAGTATAAAGTTTTATCAAGAGAACCTTTTCAGTGTAGAATTGAATGATGTTCGAGTTCACATCAAATTTGAAATAGAAATCTAACCTCAAAAAAGTTATGTTCAAAAGTACTCGGTACGAACCGTGTAACTAGCGCCCTCTATGAGTATCAGATATAAAAACAAATTCATGCGGTGTGTCAGCTTTCAGAACACACTCTGGCTGAACTTCTTCTATTCGCGCACATGATACAATTACAATGAAGAGTACAGATATGATACCAAGCGGTTCCAAATTCGTCCGACTCGCGCATGACGTCATCTTGTGAGTTAGTTGTGGCGCGCTTCAATATCAGAGCATGTGGACAATTGAAATATTTAATATTCGGATGGTTTTAAAGTTCTTGTTTGTGTCTGAAACAACATTTTCAATTAAAAAAAGTAATTACAGGGTGCCTGATTATATTTTCCACCTCTCCAATGTATTCCAAATGTCATACAAAATAGGTTATTTGAATAAAAAAGTTCAAGATTATACTTTACAGAATCGAAAAATGAAAATAGTACCTACTGAACACTGGCCTAGCCAGGGAGGGAGTGAGGGCCTTGGGGCATAAACTTTTACCTCAGGTGGAAATTTTCAAAATATAGTTCACATTTTCAAGGCAGACATTTTCATGATTTTTTAATCAACAAAAATTGTAAAACATTATTAGCGATATTTTTCACGAAATTTCGACTTCACCACTGGAGACAGCATCCTTCAATTAGGTCAACTGCGAAATTTCATTGAAAAATCTTTGGTTGATATAACTATCATGAGAAAAGCTGGTTTTTCGAGATAGATTTCGAATATTTTCAATTGTAGATGTTATAAATCGAGAGGAATTTGTGCTCGGAATTCAAATATTCACCAGAAACCTTCCTGAATTCCTACATTTGTGTTGACTATGTTGCCATGGCTCAAAACTTTTGTAAACAACAATTTCTAACCGTTCACAATGGTTGAACATGGCATTCTACTCACAACGTGACGTCAGCTGGCTGAAATTGGCCCCGCCCACTACTGCGCGATATCATATCTGTCCTTTTTAACGTATCATGATTCACGTACACTCACCTGCAGCTCGAGCTCGTACTCGCTGTTGGGCGGATAGGGCGCGATGCATCTGAAGCGTTCGCGCACCGACTGCACGCCGGTCTTCGCCTTCTGGTTGCCGGCATCGAGCGAATTGGACTTGCGGTGTCGGTGGACGTCGGGACTGGAGCCCGACGAGCCCGCCGGATTGCTCTCCGACGGTCTGGAAAGGAAGCTGTTCGGATTATTAGGGCGACGGAGGGCTGTGTATCGCGATGCCCAATCAACGAAGTAATTGATAATGGACCCCGCAAATTCAGTACGGAAAATGGCTTTCGGCTAATTCGTAAATATCAGGTTTATAGGTGATGGGACCAGGAGAGAGGCTAGACAGACAGTTGAATTAATGATGGCGGCGAGACCACAACAACGCGTACACATTCTATTTTAAATCGTAGAAGTTTCTAATAAATAATACAAGTTGTATCGTAAGAACGTGTTATTTCATCTAATTAATGAACAGTCAACACAACAATACCACAGTTTTATGTAGAATAATAGTAGATTATATATCGAGGGAGTAGAGTGCATGATTTTTCCCGAGGTGGTTTTGTTGACGTTCTCCATTTCCTGAAGAAAGAAAGAACTCGTTTCCCAGGTTTATATACTATTTTTTGCAGGACTCGACGATTTGAATTGAAAGAATCTTATGATAAAATCACTTTTTGTCAATATGAATATGAAAATCTGAACACAAAATTCACAAAATTAAGTTTGATAATGATATTTTCGAAATTCTATACCTAGAAAATAAAGGAATGAAACTCAATCATTTCGAATCATTAGAAATCAACAAACTCAAAAATTTTGACATTTTGCTTAACGATCAATTAGACCTAAATAGATCACCACTGTCGAATTTGTTTTCTTAATAGGTAATAATATTTATTTGTTATCAACCCTTTCAAGTTAATCCGGCACACCGTATTTTAATGTAGATATTGTGCCTAATTTCCGAAAATGAAGGTTGATCGAACCTGTCCGTAGGTAACTAACCCTTCAAGTTGGGAAAGTAGGATATATAAAAGTTAAGCAAGCCAAGATTGGTTTAGTTCATTGTACCAGTATATCATCTGACGAAGCTACTGTGTTAGCGAAACATGTTGTATGTTTAAGAATTTTGTGGAAATCTTATCGTTTGTGAAGTTTTCACATTTGCCATGGATTTCCATCAGGTAACGGCCGAGTCAACTAGAAAAATAAACAGTTGAATGTGTCTGGAACCATATTCCATTTTTCCAAAATGTTGTTATGGGCACCTTCACTCATTTTGCTTTTTGGGTTTTCTGTTTCGGAACATGCCCAAAATATTGTATCGCGTGCCATTGGTTCGCCACCCCTGATCTAGCAGTTTAATATTATTAGACCATCAATGATATGAGGTTCATTCGGGTTGCGATTTCAGAACTGTGCAAGAATCGTTCTCGAACTGCGTAGAACTAGTGCGCAGTCGTTTCGAATCCTAGGACTGTTTCAGGACGGTTCACAAATTATGAAAACCCGAACGCAACAGAAGAGAACCTCTGAGAACATAACATCTATTCAGAATTTGCGAAAAAAACAATAGTTTGGAACCTGTATCTTTATTCGAATAATATTCTTAAGCTTCAAACTCTCTTTTGAGTCTATTCACAATATCTCTGGAAAGCCCTCTGTGGAGGAATGGTGAATATATTCCATCATAGCATTCGTAGCTAGATTTTCAATATGTTTTGTCCCTTGTACCTACATGAATTTCGAAACCCACCTGAAATGTTCAATGAACTGTGTATCTGAATATAATGGAAAAGTATCCCCAACATAATCCTCCATTTATCGGATTATCTAACAAAAGTTCGAGAATTATCAGATTAGGCACAATATTTTCAGCAACTTTAGCGAAGAACTCCTTCACCACTGCTTCCTGAAGATGAAGAATTACTACTATCAAATGAATGTACTTTGTGGACATCTGAGTGCGAGGATGGGGCAATTTGTGAACATCTGCTTATGTGGCCGCGGATTGATAACGAGGCTCTGGCGATCCCCTCAGGGGCTCACAATTTGTGAGTACGGGAATGGTGAACCCGAGGTACCCTAGGCGGATATTCACCATACTTCAACTTGTCTTGAGTGATATCCTCTTCTCTCTTCCGTTTTCAATCTATCTATCGGCCTTCCTTGGCCAACTTCTCATTTCCTCTTCCCCTCCAAGCCCAACCTCACCATCAAGTGGTGTGGGGAAGGCAGGCCGCGGCCGCTTGACAGATGAAGCATTTTGGGACCATCTTTGCTATCTTCTGCCAGATGGGACAATTTGTGGACATCTGTGGCAGGGATGGGGCGATTTGCTGATGTTTGTCTAGGTGGTCGAGGACTGGTCAACAAGGCTCTGGCAACCTAATCTAAGCTGTGGGAACCCGTGGCGATGGATGGATGGCACCGAGGAATGGTGTCGCTAACGGGTCCTCTGGGAAACAGGGCGACATCCCAGAGTAAACAGCCTTAGCCCTGTGCAGGGGGCACCACAGGGCCGGACCAACCCCTTCCCCCGTCACTCGTAGGAGAAGGAAAACTTTTGTCCTTCTTCGTAGACGAGAACAGGGATCGGAAGAGCAATCTTCAGGAACCTGAACGAAAAGGGTCTTTCATATTGAAGTGGCCCTCAATAGGCACCATAAGTCGTATGTGGTGAAATTGATAACGGCATGTAGGTGAGATACAATGGGCCACTAGGCCTAAGTGTCGGCGGAGCCTACAACGGGGTGGAGTGTTTAGTGGGTATACCATGGAGGGGACTCCCACATATATCATCATGACGTTACGCTACAACAGACTCGAAAACTAAATGAAATGAGCATGTGCCAAAAATAATCATAGAACGGTTCATGCTCGAGAGCAGGTACTGGTTTCGGATAGTTCTAGGACCGTCCCAGGACGATTCTGGAAAAACTCGAACGCGTAAAGAGTCAGTCCTAGAACAGATCCACAAAATCCGAACGCGACCGATTTTACTGCGCAAACTCCTGACAGTTCTAGAACCGTAATAGTTCGAACCCGAATGAACCTATGGAACATGCACATTTTTAGTTCTTAGTACAAGTGCGACAAAATCACATACAATGGACACACAAAACACAAGCACACACACACACCTTGAGCTCTGGGTGAGAATGGTGGGCCGCTCTTTGTGCTTGTGCCGCTGCGAGGTGGAGCCGAACATCCGGTGGTGGTCGACTGGCTGCAGCTGCAGCAACTGGCTGGGGCAGGAGCCGGACCTGCAGGGGAAACACTCGCATTGGGACAAGTCGACGTGCGGGAGCAAAGCAGGGTGGAAGCTCGGGTGGAAGTGTGCGATTAGCAGTCGGGGTGAGCATGAAGGCATTAATTTAGCAACCTAAATGGACCACACCTAATTTGCCACTTTTCCGACGACTTGAATTTTCTGAGGAATTTCATTCACATTGCAATTTTGTTTACGGTGAAATTTTGTTTACGGTGAAATTTTGTTTACGGTGAAATTTTGTTTACGGTGAAATTTTGTTTACGGTGAAATTTTGTGGAAATCTAGGATTGGATAGATCAAATCATGCTGAGCAAGAAATGTTCTTTGGTCCAAGGTCCGTTATGCCCGTTAACAGAAGATAATGGTCATTCATGTTATGTCAGTAAAAGTCATTGAGCAAAAGCGTATTACTTTGTTCAAATACATATGAGATGGCTTATCAGAATAGTTCCGGCAGCATAGCAAATGTAGACCATAGTGTAATAATGGTTCCACTTTACACCATGTATAAGTTTTGTTCTGCGGACTTTTTCACGGTGTTCTAGCTCTCTTTGAAGTCGATGAAATATCACATCTGATATCGAAAACCGCATGAAAATCTGTCAATTTCCTTGAAAAATACAAGCCGTCGGAAGTGTCAAATTATGAATGGTCCATTTAGTGTGTTGAGAACTGTAGAATTTAATTGCGTCCATGGTGATTGTTTGTTAAAAGAATTATTACTTATATGTTAACATCTCTCATACGACCATGTTCTACTGTTGAGTAAAATTCTTGATTATTTACAGTAACAGGTGGCGGTATCTATGAGTGACAATGTGAACTACTTTTTGATAAGTAGCGAAGGGTAGAGTCCCTGTATGTATTTTACAGTTTTGCTATAATAAGAGTACGGACACTATGACAAGCAGTGACAAAAGGCATAACCCCAAATTCTCAAAATGACTTTGAGGGTTTGGTTGAACAAAGACATGAATATGTTTTTCCATGCACTTCGGATCCTCTTTCCTCTAATGCCGCGGTGAAGGGTACATCCATATATCTTTCTCTGTCTTTCTCTTCATAAAGAAGAAGAGTTTTTGTTGTTTCAAGGTATTTTTCAACTGTTCTTCCTTTCCTTTGATATTTTCTGTATTTTTCATTGTTCTCTCTATGAATCTTCGATAATTTCTTGTTTGCGATCTTGAATACAGTTAATTTTATCTTGGCTTTCTATTTCAATTTCTACTTATAAAATTTTTTCAGAATTCGATAAAGAATGTCTTTGGTAATCTTTCTGATGATTGAATGAAGGCTCCGCATTTCATTACAATTCAATGGTATGTTCCACTATCAAATCGGAAAATTAGAAAATAGAGTAGGTAGGTACTTGCTTCGCAAATTTTGCTGGCTGAACTCAATTTTCATAATGACCGTTACATATTTTGTTTCCATTTTTGTAGCTGTTGTTAATTATCATGGGGGAAATGGAATAAATGAAATGATTCGCTTCTACTCTTGCAGTTTCCAACTACACACTGAGCCATTTTGATTTTTGATAAACTGAATTTTCAAATAATTCAATTTCATGTACGTTCATGAAATGTCAGTTCCCGCCAAATTGGTCATGTCATTTCGAATTTTTTAGGGTTATGCCTTCTGTCACTGCTTGTCATAGTGTCCGTACTCTTATTCGCGGGAATCAATGTTACCAGGTGGCGCTCGGTTTTCATCGTTCCATGTCAAAGTCACGTCAAAACTGAGGGGAAACAAACTCAATCCTCACTCAATCTCATCAGTGCCATTAGCTTGTGTACTGTGTACTGATAAGAGTGATAAGTTTTTGAATTTCTTAACATTAATTGTCAATATTCGATCGAAAACGCTAATGATGTCTGTTGTAGATGATTTTTGGCAGATATTTTGCTCTATTTAGATGGAAAAAGCCGACCAGTAGTGGAAGGAGAAGCAGTTCTCCGTGTTAGTCATGTGATTTTGTGTGAGGCAGAAAACTTCAACAAAAGACACATTTTTGCACTTTGTCTGCAAACTTCGGCGATGAAATCTTCCCCACATGTTCATGCAAAGCAGGACAATCTGGGTATTGTAAACATGTTGTAGCTGTTCTTTTATATGTCAATTGATTTGCTCGTCATAATTAGTTTGAATTGTTTGAACTATCTCCAATTCTTCACCCGTTCACTGTTCACTAAACTAATAAAAATGTAATGATGTAAAAAAATCAACAAACTCAACCATCATCACTACCAACAGTGCCAACACTTTATGTCATTGACAAGTTTGACTACAGCTACAGCAAGCTGAATGCACTGTAGTCTATGCACTTTATCCATAGACAACAATTTGTTTTCCCCCAGTTTGAAGTTCGTATTATGAACCTAGATGTCGCCCACTTCGTGAATCTCGCAAATTACAACAAATCTGTCAAATACATACATCTAACGAAAGGTAGAGATGGGTAATGCAGAATATATTCGTAGTTTATTTTGAGATATTTTCATGCAAGAAGGAATGTCGCATCAGTAATGTATTGACATTTTTTTAATATTAAAAAGCCTTCAGAATATCTAAGTTAGTGAATTTCCTGCTTCAGAAACAAAGAAACTCCTAGATAGTTCAGCAACTTGCAGATAGATGGACTATGTAGACAAATCGGCAATATTTTCCTTCGATATCGCCGCCTACGAGCCAGCCAAGAATTAAGGCCACATTTGGCTTCAAAATTTCACATCGATTACATCTTGTCAGTGTGAATAATCAAGGGTTTAGTTCGTTGTGATTGTTGAGCAATGCCTGGAGAAACTTTTTTTTTATTGATAAATCAAATGTACCTAACATTCAAATTAATCATTAGGGCTCATAAACTCAAGAAGCTGAATCGAAATATCTCAATATCCTTAATAGTTTCAATTTCTATTTAGCCTCCTTAAAAAAATAAATAACATATGTTTTCTTTAATCAACAAAAATAAGGAAAACATAGCAAAATCAAGACGAAAACAACACAAAGAAGCTTGAAAGAAACAAACACATGCATTTCATCAAGAAGTGTAGCAAAAAATGCAGAAACACAAAATCCAAAAGCAAAACCATAAAAAAGCAAGTAATCAGTGGCCTACCTGACATGCACATGATTCAAAGCTGGCGATGACTTGACAGGTGTCACTGACGCATCCTCGAACACCGGGTTGTCCATGGAATAGGAAGCAGCCGGCGGAGATTTGGACCGCTTCATGCTGGTGAGACGTCTCATCAGGCTGACTGTACCCTTTTCTTTGCGTTCCTTACACTGGCGAAATATGATTGTGTGAAAAAAAATCAACATACAACATTTTTCGAACAAATGTTTGATTATGCGTTATTTTGAGTGTCTTGTTTGGGTTCTCACTGTTGTTCTGAATGAAATCTTAGTAGGCCAGAGTTATAATATTGTACAGTTCACTCACGCGAAATATGTCAGCATCAATGGCGCTGGTTCACTGAAAAATGTCAATTGAATATTTGTCAATATGAACAATTTCAAATTGAAGCTCTCATCGTCTCATTTTTTTTATAAGTGTACTTCGCCAGAGCTAGTTTTTTTCCGACTATTGTGCACTCCCCGACAATAAATTCCGGACAGTGAAATTTTTTGCAAAATTGTTCGCCCTGTAACTTTCGTAATCCTCTTCCGATTTCGATGAAATTTCGACCAAAGCGTAGAATTATGTTTCGCAAAATCAGCCTAATATTTTGTTCCTAAAAACATCTAGTGTCCTAATCATTATACAGGGAAAAACAAGAGTAACTTTTTTGCCCTCAACTTCTTAATGCCCTGTGGCAAAAGTGAGCAATTAAAACCAATTTCATCATGTTTAGTATTGAAGTGTGATTCCTTCTCAATACATCTGTTCTTTGATTCACGTCAATATCTTCTTTTCAAGAGAAGATACAAAGGTTTCAAGAAAGTATGGCATTTTCTAATTTTTATCAACAATATTCCACAACCTACGTGAACTCATTCATCACACTGGTCTTTGGTTGCGTAGTAACATTAAAAGTATTGTTTAACAAAGTGTCAGTATTCTGCCATTCCATAATAAACTGTTTTTTGTGTGTGTTGAAAATGAGACCCGAGGATGTTGCACGTGCTGTTGCCTTGAATGATGATGGTCGTATAGTATACAAGATGCGATTAGTCGGTTTCGTTGGACTGGTGAGTACATACGACGTAGGGGATCAGGTAGACCACGTGTTACCAATCAACGTGATGACCATCTCATCAATCTAACAGTATTACGAGATCGTGGCACACCATCTACGGTTATAAGTCATAGAATACAAGATGTACGAGGTACAATAGTTTCTGCACGAACCATTCAGCGTAGATTGAAAGAAAGAGGATTAATGTCCAGAAGACCCGCTGCATGTCCTCTGTTACTTCCTGCACATCGCACAAGGCGTTTTGATTTTGCTCGTGAACATAGCTACTGGAGAGCCCAAGAATCGCGTTTTTGTTTGCGCTCTCCTGACGGACGTGAACATGTCTGGAGGAGGCCGGGTGAACGATTTGCTCAGTGTTGCATATCTCCAAGGACGCCATTTGGAGGCGGTAGTATCATGGTATGGGGAGGAGTATCATTAAATGCTCGTACGAACCTGGTGCTCATAGAAAATGGTTCTTTAACTGCTGATCGTTACATCCGACAATGTTTAGCTGAACATGTGGTACCCTTTGCCGGCTTTGTTGGGCAAAACTTTATTTTAATGCAAGATAATGCCAGGCCTCCTACTTGGACGAGGTAAATATTCGGAGATTAGAGTGGCCCCCGCGTAGTTCCGACCTGAATGCTATTGAGCACGTTTGGGACATGCTGAGAGGCCATCGACAACTGCATTGAGAGTATGCCTCGTCGCATAGAGGAAGTACTAAGAAAACGCGGTGGCAATACGCGATATTGATTTTTAGTTGTTTTTTTTTTCATTTCGAGTTGTTAATGTTTTTGTAAGTTCTGAATAATTGTTGATGAATATAAAAAATGCTATATTTTCTTGAAACACTTGCATCTTCCCTTCAAGAAAAGATATCGACGTGATTTATGAACCATTTTGTTAAGAAGGAATTACACTTCAATACTAAACATAATAAAACTGATTTTAAATGCTCACTTTTGCCACAGGGCGTTAAGAAGTTGAAGGTAAAAAAGTTACTTTTGTTTTTCCCTGTATAATGATTAGGACAATAGATGTTTTTCGGTACAAAATATCAGGCTGATTTTGCGAAACATAATTCTACTCTTTGGTCGAAATTTCATCGAAATCGGAAGAGGATTACGAAAATTACAGGGCGAACAATTTTGCTAAAAATTTCACTGTCCGGAATTTATTGTCGGGGAGTGTATATGTTTGTGCCAATGATAAACGTCACCTCAGACAAATTACAATTTTAATATGATTGTTGATGTTTCGATGGATGCAATGATAAAATAGCTCGATATGATTGATGCTATTTGTATTTGATTAGGAACTGGCCAATTGGCAACTCATAAGTGCTGTGACGAAACTTTACTATTTGACGAACTAGGTTTTCATTTAGAACTATAGACTTTCTGGTTTTTGACTGGCCTGACCGACGTGACTGAACACAATGACAAATACAAATGGTTTGAACCAATCGCTTGTTTACAAAACCCTTAAAAGTTGTCAACTTCACTAATCAATCGATAATATATCGAAAATAACACATATCCTGACTGACATCCTGAAAATCAGATATAATAGGAATCTTTATGATCATTTTATTCGTAATTGAATTCCTCAAGATTGATTTTGTGGATGTAATGATTATTTTATACCAGAAATAATACAATCAAGTGAATCACACAGTGTGATGTAATGCTATTTTTGTTTCAAATATAAGGAGATTGAGTCACTCATTTTCGAGACTTTGTTGAGTAATTTGATTGTTTTGAGGTTGAAATTTATCTCACTGAACCGAATCGACCATCAAAAAGTCAGGGTGATTTAGTCTTGGTCTTCAATAAAAAAGGACCATCTACCATTTGCAGTTTGGTCAATGCGGTCATCAATCAAAAATCCTGTGGTCGCAACCGGTCGGCAATCAAAATAACCTGACAATGATTGGACAATCCACCCACCTTATCGCCGCTTTTCTGCCCGCCCATAACGGCGCTACTGCTCCTGCCCATCACCCCCACCACCGCCCCCTTCTCTTGCTGCCCGTGCCAGCTTGCCGAGATCCCCTCCTCCCGAGGGCTCGACGCCCTCGGAGGCAGCTCGGGCGGGTCGGTCGCTCCGCCCACCTGCTGCCGAGGGGAGGGGAACGGGGCGGGGCCACCCTTGCCGACCACGCCTCTGGCCTTCGGATCGCTGCTGGAGGCGGAGTCTTTGGGCGGATGGTTGGGGAGGCCGCGCGCCAGAGAGACGTAGTTGCCGGGAAAGACGCCGCACTTTTGAGTGCGATTGGAGGTGCCCTTGTACCAACCGTCCTGGCATCTGCCATATTTTAAACATCAAAAATTGTTACGTTCGTCGATATGATTGTGATATTCTGTCATTCTGAACAAGAGTCATTCATAATTATTCATTATACAATGGACAAAAGTATTAGATTTCACTAGGAGGTTGTGTTTGCCCCTCCGCGTAGCAGAGAGAAACAAAAACAGAGAGCTAAAATCTTATATTTTTCCCGTGTAAAATACAATATTTTTTCTGTTACAGGAAGACATCTGCAGACATCTTTGTTGCTATGGATACCTTCTGAAGTAATCAAATAACTGTCAATTTAATCTGTGATTTGGTTTCGAAAAATTGCTAACTTATTGGTTGATTAGTAATTTACGTAACGACGAAGTGGAATTTATGATAATTTATCAGAATTGGCATAAGAAAAGCCATCAACACTATACCGGGAAAAAGTAATTTTATGAAAAGAGATATTTTGTAACCTGTCAACAGAGATGAACTGTCGAACTTGTTTTTGTTAGTGATAATATCATAATCACTTGACAATGTTTTTTGACTGAATGACCATTCAATGGAAATTAGCAATGTCGATACACATGAATGGATTAATAACTGTGGCAATAGGAACTAATAAGTATTGTTATTTGCAAGTGTTGTCATCCAGTATGGATGTTATCAGTGCTTATCTATAGTGAAAAATAAAGATAAAAACGAACAAAACGATCTTCAAAGAACTGCATCTTGTTGAAAAATTCGAAATATTCGAAAATATCAATGAATGCAAGACTACTGACAAAATCAACAATCATGAGATGGTTTTTTTACAACTATTCAACATCATTTTAGGCATGAAATGTTCTTCATAATTATTTATTGCAGTTGAAATTGAGTTGAGGTGTAGCTCGGGCGGGTCGGCAGCGGATCATGATTACCAAATTCCAAATTCGTCCACCATATTGGATCTGCAATCTTTGGTTTTCCGATTTCAACGATGGAATCAAAATCCCCGACACAGAAAGTCCCCAGATACAAATCTTGAATAGAATCGAATCATAATTACAAAACTCGTCCGCCATATCGCCATATTGAATCCACCATCTTGAATTTCCTACAATTGATGATGGAATCATAATCTCCGCCCCAAAAACCCTCATAATACAAAGTTTTGAATAGAATTGGATCATAATTACAAAACTCGTGCGCCATATCGGATCCGCCATCTTGAATTTCTAAATTTTGACGAACCCGAAAACCCCAGATACAAATTTTGAATAGAATCAGATTATGATTACAAAAATCGCCCGCCATATTGGACAGTAATGAATTTGTGCCTTCGAAGTGCCCATCTGATGTTAGGTTAGATATTTGTCATTCTCATTTCATTATCTAAGTAATTCGAAACTTTCGAGTCCCAAAAGACGTATTCTAATAATTTATATCTGAGGTACCGACGTATAAAGTTGCATTTCCTATTGTTGGATATTTTGTGTCCAAAGTTGAAATAATGGCCTGGTGCGCGTGGCATGAAACTATGGTTGCACAGTAAACAAAACGGGGTAACATATTTTTTGTTTTAATGAAAAGTATCGTATGTCCTTTCTAATACATCTATGAATATGTATACAAAGTTTCATGATAATCGATTGAGTAGTTTTGGCGTGGAAGCCCGACAAACAAACTCACACTACATACCAACTAGTAGATGTGATTGACCAGATATTTAGTGTGTTTTGCAAAATGTTTACTTTTTTATTTATTCATTCGTTCTTGAAGAGAAGGATCGTTACAAGCTAATAGCTAATATCTCACTCACCTCTCAGTCACCATGTAGATCCCCCCCTTCTTCAACTCCAACTCGTCCCCCTTCTGCGGCTTGTACGGATACAGCGCCACGTACGTGGCCGGCAGCTGCCCCTCTTGCCCCGCCCCGCCTACCCTGCCCCGCCCCCGCTCCGTTCCTCCGACCACGCCCACTCCCGCGATCTCCGCCGAGTGGCGGTGGTGGTGGGCGGAGCCTGGTCCGTGATGGTGGGGGGGAGGAGGAGGGTTGAGGCCGGTGAAGCTGTGCCGCTTCTCCTTGTCGTGCGTCGCAGAATGGGCGTGGTTCTGCGAGAAGGCGGAGTTTGGCGCTTGCGGCGAGCGAGGGGAGGGGTGGTGGGCGTGTTTGGCGGCGTTCGGGGGGAGGTCCGTTCGCCTGAGATAGAAATGGTAGGGAGAATTGTTAATTGTGAGTTGTAACGCTAAAAACCCCCAGTATGCCTCAGTAGGTATTCAACTGCATTGAGACTGCATGTCAAAGCCATGTTGGCACTCTCGAACATGATGCATACAAGTGCTGGGCGCCAAAAACAAAATAGCCGACGTGGCAAGCACATCTTCCGATTTAGTTCAGTCACCATTGGGATCAGGAGAAAAATAATTTCGATACTCACGATTGCACGTTCTTGGGAGGCAGCTGGTGCCCCCTGGCTGGCGGCGACGCAGGCGACGACGGCCCCGTGCTCGAAGAGGAAGAATTGTTGCTCGAAGACACGTTCGGCGTGTTCGACGAGCTCGAGGTGGAATCCGAGCCGACCGAAGGTCCCTGCGGCCGGTGAGGCACCACGTTGAGCGTGTGGTCGGTGGGGATCAAAGGGGAGCTGTCCTCTGCTGTGGGGGTGGGCGGGGCCACCTTAGATGGACCGGGCTGAGCACTGAAAGTTAAATAATGATACACACCACGATTCATTGGAAAATCATTGCAAGGAATACGGCAACAATCCTACACGTCAAAAAGGGTCAAACGAATGAAATCGCGAGTTGTGGGGACTGGTACTGGTGGGGGACGTTTGCACGTCAGCAACTAGTCCCTAATGGGACCTTTTTGCAAGCCCCAAGGTGTTTTCAATGACTGATGTGGTTCGCTTAAGAGAGCTGGCTAACATTCTTTTTCAGGAACCGCCCATCAGCTCTCTTTCAGAGTTTTTCTGCTGTGTTTTGTAGGCTAGTAATTTACTCACTACCATATGCTGCAGTGGCAGGCCTGCTAGCTATCCTCGTTAACCCCCGTTAGAGACCGAGGTCCACTAAACAGCTGGCCCGCTCTCACGCTCAGCTGGTAGTTTCCCTCACCCACCTACATACACCGTTCTACTTCTTCTCTGATGCTCACAACCACATCATCATCTCTTTCTGCGTCTTATGTGTAGGCTTTGTTACTAACTCCATGCGCCACTTTGGGAGCAGCACTGGTAATTGGAACGCAACAGCGAATCGTGCAGGACAATCCCCAGCCGATTCTCCGAAAATTTACAATATTAATTCGTAAATAAAATATTGAAAAAGGTTCCTTGCTCGTGCAGGGAATCGAACCCACGACCTTCCACACACGCTGTACACGGATGAATGAATGAAATCACGAATGGTGGGGATAATAGCACACATGTACATTTGCGAGCGAGTACTCGGACTAAATAACAATAGATACTTGACAAAAATTCTTGATATTCTGGTGAATCATCAAGTTCCTGACAGTGATTGAATCTGTATCATTATTTAGTCGATATGACTTTTGACTTCCAGTGGCACTGTTTCCGGGTGGGTATATTGAGTGTGATTCTTCAGAAAAAACATTGGTGACAATGAAACTTTCCGCAATTTTATTCGAAAATATGAAAGAGGGTGCAATATTGTAGAAAAAAAACACCGATTGTTGAAACTTGTTAAGGTACACTGTTTTAGAGAAAGACGGAATAACCAAATTCAACGTCAAAATGTTATATAGCTGTTGCATAGCCCATTCAAGACATATGTTTTGATTACTCTTTAACCATGATAGATATTATTCTGGAATTGCCGCAGTTACATAACAGACTAGATTTTGCCATCACCTATAAATATTTGCAACTTTAACGTCCTGTATCTCGCAAATGAAGCCTGTTAAGAGCTTTGGTTATAGGACTTTTTTCATTGGGAAGGCCTGTACCACCCAAAATGATTAATACAATATAGGACCGGAAATGTTTTTAAACTTTGTTGTTTTGCAACTGTTATATGGATAATTTTTATTAACTTTGTCTATTTTGATGAGTTCTACAATATGTTGAAAAAATCCTCACCAATAAAGGTGGTGGGATTTCTCAAGATTAGATCCGGTTCACTGAAGATGAGTGTACCTTCCTCATGAAAAGTCCCGATTCCAATTGAATCTATACCATGACCATGTGGATAAAAGATTTAATAACAGTTAATCAAACTATTCTGTAGGTTCTGTGTTTCTGATAATAAAAACAAGTAGATATCATTCATCAGTCAATTAATACCTTACTAAATCAATAAAAATCTATCATCAACAAGCTGACTACTTCTAGCCAACTACATTGTTTTTCAAATAGACAAAATTGTTTTGATATTCAAGCGTCAGCAAAGCAATGATGAGAAGCTGTTCATGTAAACTTATTCATGAAAAAATAAACAAGACACTTACGTCAATTTCCTATAAATTGTGTGCAAAAATCCACAAATTCACTTTGAATTTTATTGCCTAAACATCCTTCCTAAATACGGATCAAAATAATGATTATACAGGGTTGGGAATATATGTGACAACATCTCATTTCTGACTAAACCAGAAGTATTTTTTCATCAAGACTTTTCTGTTCAACACAGCAGTTTGCTTAAATGAATCACCCTGTATATGTATGGTCAATATAGCCACCTTATTATAATCACATAAATTATAGTCAATCAGGGTGTATACCAAAAATGGGCCATAAAATGCATTTCCCCATGTTTTCATGCAGGGTCCTTTGTTACTACCTCCTGAACTATTTTCAATTTTCAGCAAATGTGTTCATCTAGGAATTCACTTACTTTGAGGATAACTTCATCAACGATCTTGCCAAGTTGTTCAGTTCCACGAAGGCCAAAGGAAAAATCCCAATACGGCCGTCCAATTTTCCCTCTGCCCAATTTTCGTCAACTCGTCTGATGACATTTATGATGTCACCCTTGCTAAAAGCAAGACACCCTTCCTCTTCATCATTGGTCATCCGAAAGTCATAAAGGGCCTTGCATTGAGGTATATGACTGGGCACAGGGGTGATAATCTAAAAAAAATGCACTAACCTTTTTTATTCAATAATTTTTTTATCAGAACTACTGAAGAATACTGATTTTTTTTATTTTCATTATGTCTGTCTATTCCCTACAAGCAAACAAATTCAAAATGGCGGCTCCAAGAAGGCAGATTAGTTTCTCATTCCCCTTTATGGGAATTTATAGTCAGGGGTTTTGGAAGTTGAGTTCCAGTCAGAAAATTAGTGATTTTTCATCAGATTTAAATGGAAATTTATAATCTGAGGATTCTAGAGGTCCAACTAGAAAAAACTTACAAAAAATTTGAAACTTCAAGATGGCGCCTCAAACATGGCGGATAATTTCGTCAACTAGAACTGTATATTGGTACAGTAACATGAACTTCCAGTCAAAATTTGAAAATTTAAGATGGCGCCTTCATGATTCTCCTGAAAATGTATATGTGGCAGGAATAACTACCAATTTTGAATAAAAAATGACAGTTCAATAGTCAAAATTAGAATATTCAAAATACAAATAAGGTCAACATATATTGCAAAATTTTGAGAAAACAAGACTCAAAAGCAGGAAATGATTATTAGGTGAGAAAATTTTAAAATACCACCTTTTTGAAAATGGGCAGAGAAGTAGACAATTATTGGGAATTTTTAATGGTAATGAGATTACTATTATGCCAGTAATTCATTTTTTGGTTTATGTTTTGCTAGGAAAAATCTCAGGAAAAATTATGTTTCATTATTTTATTACCTGAACATAGCTAGTTTGCTAGGAAAAATCATGTTTCATTATTTTATTACCTGAACATAGCTTAATGGAAAAACACCTTGTTTTCCACTGCATTCTCCTTGATACCAGTGGCTATCAATTCTTTTTTTCAGAATGATGACATCTCCTCTTTTGAAGCTCAAATCCCTGGAATTCCATTTCAGAATATTGATAGAATAAGGACATTTTCAAAATTGTTCACAATGGCTTTGACAGTAATTTTTTTCCCACTCAATTTTTTTGTATGGTAAAATATCAATTTAAATATTGTAATCAAACTTCATCAAACTTTGACCCAACCCACAAATATAATATAAAAGACTTTTCATGCAAAATGGCAATACAATTTATTGAAAATCAAGTGTTGACCAGTTATTTTTAGTATTTCAACATTTTTATTTTTGATCACATATTTTTTTTAACTTGTTTCTTTAAATTCTTCTGAGATAGTTCAAAACAACAAGAATGTGTACTGTTTTTTCACCACAGAAAGACTATTCATATTTTCCTCTTTGTGGAAGTAAAACAGCTGTCACTTAATTGCTTCCGTTTGGAATCCATACAGGGTGCAACAACTTTACTTCAAACCATTGGGATCTCATGAACTGTGAAAGATATAAAGAAAGTTGAATTTTGAAAAAAAAAGCATATTCATGGAAAACTATATTTGATATTTCCTGTCATTATCTAGGAAAATGATTAAAAATGCAGTATTTAATTTTTGAAAAATAAGAACCTACATTTTTCATTATATTTTTCAAGAGGTTTCAATACTTTCAATTGACTGAATGCAAATACATTGCACTTTCTTGAGAATTTGTTCTGTATCTTTTTATTTTCAAATGTTCTTTGTGATGATGACTATTGATTTGAGAGCCAGTTTGGGAGCTTCTCCTTACTCAACATTAAAATAATAGGTTAAAAACAAATGTCTTTCAGTGTTGAATAAAGGACAGACAAGTTCTAATAAGTATATAAATACCAACAGTGGGATGAATGACAAAATAATTCAAATCTATAAAGAACTGCCTGAAGAAATACCAGTTTGATGCATGCATAAAGATATGCAGTTGCTAGACATAGAAAAAAGATGTGGGTAATCAAGAAGTGGGAGAGCATACAGTTAACAGTAATGAATGAGTCACATTGGATAAATTTAGAATGAAAGGAAGCTGAAAATATGTGAATATAATTCACAAAATTATTATGCATCCATCTCTGAATGGAAAAGAGACAATAACAATATGTACTGAAGTCATTCACTTATTTAAGTAGTAATTGAAAGTAACAAACTGATAATTATAGTAGATTAAGCTATCTTGTTGCTCACATTTTACAGTTCCATTGCCCCAATATGTTCTTTCAAGAGTAAGAGTAAATTGTTTCCATGAAAAGATCATCAAACCAGATATTATAAGAGTGACTAATAAGAGTGTCAAGAAAAAGTGGTTTATGATGCAACTTGATGATTTTACATTTGTTGGTTATTCTGGTTCCTACTTCCAAGGAATTTCAACAATGTGGTAACATGAATGACTCAATAAATGATACTAATTTGATGAATGACACAAAATTTTAGTGTATTGTTTCCCCTTCAGCTTACATACATTCTTGAAATCCCAGAAGTTTCTTCATTTCTGAATAATGTTGAAGAATAATTGAAATCAATACTACATTTGAAACATAAGGAATGAGTAGGCACTACTGATACAAATCAAAAGTGTAGAATGATGAAATAAATCAGGTTTTCAAGTTTCATCTATACATACCCAGAATAATCATACATCGCTTTAGCATAGGGTTGATGTGGTATAAAATGCAGAGCCTGCTGCTTATTACTGATAATTCTGTGATCTGGGGTACTATGTTGCTGATGCACTGGGGTTGTATGATGCATTTGCTGCACCAGCATTAGATTTGGACTCCTAGTAGTTCTATGTACCCTTTTTGGAATACTATTTCCAGCATTTCTCATACCCTCTAGAATCCTCATCAGCAACACATTTGGTGGCAGTTCGTCCACTTGGATTGTGACCAAAACACGACACTCTGGACATCTTAGTTCTTTGTGTTTCTGCACTATTTCCTCTAGACACTTTTTACAGAAAGTATGCTGACAAGGAAGGACTTTACTGGAAGTATCTAGTCTTTCTAAGCAGACGGAACACTCTAGGAGATCATTCAGGGTCCCCTCATCCATTCTCAATGAACACTGAGCACTACCAACTTCCTAATGACACTGTATTGTTGTGATTGAGTTTAGGGCACGATGTATAACAGTTTTAGGTGCATTGTTGATCGACTTGAATGAATTCGATGCATATTAATTACCACTTCCGGTCAGGAAGATAGTATTGAAATGAACTAGACTGTGGAAGCAAGTGGAAGTGTGAAAAAGTTGTCAGTCACCAAGTGTGGGTGCGCCTGCGGTGACAGGAAAACCTAAACTATTATCCAGGTCCAGTGGCAACACAGTTGAACCATTTTTAGATCACGCAAAGCGATTTGGGTATTTGATGCATATGAAACGTCATGACAAGATAGACTCAGCGCAGCGGTGGAATAGGACCACAAAGGATTCCAGATTCAAAAGAGGAAGTGGAATTTAATAAAAAACTAAAAAACCGAATTAATACATCAACATTCGAACTTTCACGATTCACTCACGATCACGAAATGTCGAATGTCAATGAATGTCATTATTTTTATGTTTCATGTCAGTTCAGATATTGTATTTTGTCAACTTCAATCTTGTCATCGAACTTCTGCTTCTTTTCATCTTCTGCATATCTTGGTCTTTTTTTTTCTCTTGGATCGCATGCGTCATATGAACATTGAACACTGGCTCATATCTTGAATGTATGAAATAAGAAGAAGATATATAATAAACCTAATTTACCTAAACTGACGGACGGGACAACAGAAAACACAACACTGAACGCAACACGCAACTACAATTTTAATTTTATAAAAATAAAACAACTTTGCTTTGGTCTCATTTTGTGTTCTCTTTCGTTGATTCGTTTTGGAGTCATGTCTATTTATTATAGCGGGACGTTCACAAGGTCTGCTGGTGTAATCAGTGCAATAATCAAGCAATTGAAGTTGGTAAATTTAAAGCCTGTGAAGAAAATCCAAGTTCAATTTGATCCATTTCATCCAAATGCAGTAACAGCCAGGTAAAAGGAAACATAACCCTAGTTGATCATCGATTTATCTAATTTTAGCTTGGCGCAAGCGTTATTTACGGACTTGTTTAATATTTTCTAGAGATTTCCTGTTCCATATTTCCTCACCCAAAGTTACAGAGACAAATCTGAGCTGTGTTATCAGGGCTAATGTTGTCTGTGATAGGAGTGAACCAGAAATAAAACTTGAATTAGCAGATTCAGGGTAAGAAGAATAATGTAGTAATTAAATACCTTCAACTGGGGTGAAATGGATCAAAATCTGAGCTTTTTTCAGCACTGCAACCAAAGTACACTCCATGAGTCCTTCTTCTATATAGAGCTTAGTGAAAAAATAAAAAATTAAACTATCATGAATGATTTTCAAATAATCCAAAGTAATCAGCTTCACCCAGCATTTTGGGGTGAAGAGGATTATATAGGTACAACATGGTACAACCTTTTTTTTCCTTTTTTTCATGAATTCTCCCCATATTTTTGACTTGTTTATCTAGTTTCACGTTTTTCTCTTTCTATGTATTCTTGGAAGAATCCCCAGGTGGGTTTTGTGAAACTTCCAAAAAATTCAATTTTTTTTTTCTAGTCATCTGTGGTGTAAACAAACTTGTTGACAGGGATGTGGATATATCAATAATTTGCTCTCATGAAACTATACTATGATCTTTACCCTACTATATCCATTTCACTTCCATTGATGGTACTCTAGTTGCTATTTTTCTGATTGGATTATGATTTTATCCATGTTGAATGCCTGAGTAATTGTTTTCTGAGCCAGTTTAACCTGGAGTTTGATTGTTCATTTTCCACAAGTAATATTTCTAATATTATATTTCTTCTTGTTTTAGTGTAGTGAAGTTCTTAGCAAATAACCTAACAGTTCTAGACATTCTTCAACAAATCAACAAGCACATTAGTTCCAAAGTCAAAGAAGACCCTATAGTTCCACTTTCAACAACTAAAATAGCAGCAAAGAAGCTAGGCAGACGCTAATATGGTCAGTAAAAAGAAGGATTTCCACCTGAAGCTCATAGAGAATGTGTATGAGAACATCCCTGCTTTCACAGATGTGTTCACTGAAGAGACATTTTATATTTTCGTTGTTACTATAGTTTTAAGTACAATTCTTCTAGCTTTCATTGTTTCAAGATTTGTTACAATAAAGGAAGTTGAGTTGTAGCTTAGTGATTTTGAGTGGAATTAAGGGGAATAAAAAATATAAATAATCCAGAATCAAGACAACAGGAAAAAATATAGGCATATGCATTTGTAACCTATATAGGATCAATTTTACAAATTCTATTTTTAAATATGGAACTGAAGACTGAACAAATGGGTCAATGTTAAATGCATTGAAATTATACAAAATGCAGGAAAAAGGGCTGAAGAACCCATAGTTGGTTCTATGATTATTCATAACAAATAATTCTGTGTTTTTAGTAAAATATGAGGGAACATTGAAGTTAATCTTAATGAGAAGTTCATAGCAATCAATTTCACCTGAGAAAATCTTAAACATAGTATCATGATCATCAAATTCAAATACAGATCCTATTTTTATTCTTCTTTGAACGCATTTCTTCATAAAAAACGACAATAATCGATCATTCAATTAAACAGTCAAAAAAGACATTGATGTGAGTATAGTCCTTATTTGAATGCAGCAGGTGCTCTATGAACTAGACCCATGTTTTACTTAAAAAATGTAAATTATTATGAATATATTGCTCAATAATTGGAGAAGCATAATACCATCTGAGTTTTTTTTCAGGATATTCCAGAAACAATGTAAACTATGGCGTATATCAAAGCATTTCAGATGGAGGTGAAAGAAATCTATATTCCTTTATGACACATATCACCAGTGGCGGATTTACCGGTACGCTTAGTATGCTCAAGCTTAGGGCCCCGACCCTTGCAGGTGCCTCCGAGGGGCCCTGGCATTGCATGACTATTTTCCCATATCATTGTATAGATGAAATAATGATTGAAATGAATTTCTCTTTTGAGCAATAGGTATTTATTTTATATACCTAGAAGCAGCGGCAACATTCCAAAAATGTTGAAAACCATAAGCAGGGTCCTGCCGATCTCATAGCGACAGTGGGCCGGTTAAGGGAAAGAAAGTTGCTTAAATCCGACAAAAGTTCAATAACTTCCTCGATATGGCATTTTGCAAACTGAAAAAAAAACATGTGCCGTTTCGATTTAGATAAAATATCAACAGTAAAAACAAAATGATTTTCTGTTTTTTCATTCCAATTTTTCAGGAACGGCATTTTTTTTTCATCTGCAAAACGTATACCGTTGAGGAAATAGTAATAATGTTCCTATGAAATCGGCGGGACCCTATATACTGAAGGAATGATGGACGTGGTTTTCAATGCAAAAATACTACATTGAACTTGTTTTCAACACTGCCATCAGTGACCAATTGCGGAGGAGAGCGTTTATTCTCAAGATTATCAATAATCAAATCAAATTGTGTACCTAATTCCGAAGAGAACATAACAAACTTTGGGAATGCTTTCCATCGGAAGTGATTTGATAGCAGTTCGATTTATGATGGTGCAATGAAAGTATTCGCAGATTCGTGAATCAGAAAATTGGAAGTGATATCGTAGTATGTTATTTCTCCTAGTAATTTATTCGTTACGGTTTAGTTCTTTTATTTTGAACGTATCTGATCCTAGTCAGTGTTATAGTTACGTTCATTTTATTTCATGTGGCTCTGATTTTTTTTTATTTGTTATTATATCGTAAACCATATCAATGAATGCACTTTTTTTTGTTCCTTATATCCTATATATTTTCATCATGCATTTTTCGCTTCTATTTGGTCAGAAATTGTTAGATGGGAAAATTGGTGAGAAGAAGTAACAGGAGGAGAAAAAATGATGGGTGGAGCCACAAGGGCCCCAAGAATTATCAAGCTTAGGGCCCCAGAAATCGTAGATCCGCCACTGCATATCACTTTATTAGGAGCTCAACATCTGTCAGACAGCAGATTAATGGAGTTTTATTCCAAGATAAGTTTTCATGAACATTAAATTCAAATATAGAAATCATATATTTCTATTCTTCTCCGAACAGATAATAAATAATAATTAATACATTTAATAAAGTAAGAAACTACACTGAGAAACAATAAGTAGTGGCCATTCCAAACCATAGGAAGTCCATATGGTAAAAGGGCCCTCTAATGGTCACAGTGAAAATAAGGTGTCCGCATTCATGATAATCAAGCATTCTATAAAACGTTCCTTATTGGACTATGGCTGTATTGATTGGTCACCATACTATGCATGTGATATCACACTAATTGAACAAGCCCAAGTTATAGCTCATGCTTAACGAAAATGCAGGATCTCACATTCCCTGCCGTCAGATCGTATATATATTACTTTACCTTTGGCTTCTCCGAGTCCTGAGACTCGTCCCCCGTGAATCCAGGGGCTCCTGTATCAGTACTATATGTCAGCTTCACCTCACTAAGGCAGCAGTCGTAGCCTTTTTATGCTGCAGGTTTACTTGAAGGACCTGCAGCATCTTCAGCGCTTTTTTTACTTACCGTCCTGAACGTAAGTTGGGCCTAGGTAGGCTTTGAAGCCTCTCTTGGCCAACTCCTTAAGGTTGAGGTCGTCAATTCCAAGAACAATAAGGGTAATTCCTTGTTTGTCAGAATTGGTGGAAATAATCCTCCAGTCTCCTGTTTTTTTGCCCTCGTTCTGGGGTTCCAGGAGATGTAGGATCCTAGCCGGCTCTTTGGCCTGAAAAAAAAAGAACATCTGATTAGTATATATATAAGATGCTTCTCTAATTGCGCAATATATTATTCATTATAATTTCCTTCTTGTGAAGAAAACATGGGTCCACTTCATAGAGCACATCAGCTTCATTGAAATAACGACTGTTGCTTTCTTGAAAAGCATAAATAATTTGGAAAAAACTGGTATAGAACCACTGTTGATACCTAAGTCTGTTTAATTGAATGATCGATAATTGTCGTTTTATATGAACAAATGTTCGAAAAAGAATAAAAATACGATCTGTATTTGAATTTGATGTTCATGAGAACTTATCTTATCTTGGACATCTCCATATTCCATATCAATCTGCCTGACAGATGTTGAGCTCCTAAGTGAATTGTCCTGAACGATTATAGAGTTCTTGTGAGTATACAGTATCTCGAATGATGAGCTATCTGCCATAGTTCACATAGCTTCTGGAATATCCTGAAAAAAAACCTCTGATTTGTATGATGCTTCTCTAACTGCACAATATATTATTCATTAGAATTTACTTGTTTTCAAGAAAATATTGGTCTACTTCATAGAGCACAGCTTCATTGAAATAACGACTTCTGCTTTCTTGAAAAGCATAAACAATTTGGAAAAAACTGGTGTAGAACCACTGTTTATACCTAACTCTTGAAGGCGACACCCTCCTTTGTAGAGAGGCATTACGAACGCCAAAGTTGATACACTCCCCTCGTGAGGGTACCTGACGTGATTCCATACACTCACAATGTCGACTAATTTTTCGACTGTTTAATTGAATGATCGATAATTGTCGTTTTCTATGAAGAAATGTTCGAAGAAGAATAAAGATACGATCTGTATTCGAATTTGAGGTTCATGAAAACTTATCTTATCTTATCTTGGACATCTCCATATTCCATCAATATGCCTGACATATGTTCAGCTCCTAAGTGAATTGTTCTGAACGATTATAGAGTTCTTGTGAGTACAGGATCTCGAATGATGAGCTATCGGCCATAGTTTACATTGCTTCTGGAATATCCTGAAAAAAACATCTGATTAGTATGACGCTTCTCTAATATCGCAATATATTATTGATTATAATTTACTTTCTTTGGAGAAAACATGGGTCTACTTCATAGATCACAGCTTCATTGAAATAACGACTGTTGCTTTCTTGAAAAGCATAAATAATTTGGAAAAAACTGGTATAGAATCACTGTTTATACCTAACTCTTAAAGGCGACACCCTCCTTTGTAGAGAGGCATTACGAACGCCAAAGTTGATACACTCCCCTCGTGAGGGTACCTGACGTGATTCCATATATACTCACAATGTCGACTAATTTTTCGACTGTTTAATTGAATGATCGATAATTGTCGTTTTTCATGAAGAAATGTTCGAAGAAGAATAAAAATACGATCTGTATCCGAATTTGAGGTTCATGAAAACTTATCTTATCTTATCTTGGACATCTCCATATTCCATCAATCTGCCTGACAGATGTTCAGCTCCTTAGTGATTTGTCCTGAACGATTATAGAGTTCTCGTGAGTACAGGATCTCGAATGTTGAGCTATCTGCCATAGTTTACATTGCTTCTGGAATATCCTGAAAAAAACCTCTGATTAGTATATGATGCTTCTCTAATATCGCAATATATTATTCATTATAATTTACTTCCTTTGAAGACAACATGGGTCTTGTTCATAGAGCACAGCTTCATTGAAGTAACGACTTTTTCTTTCTTGAAAAGCATAATTAAACAATTTGGAAAAAACTGGTATAGAACCACTGTTTATACCTAACTCTTAAGGCATTACGAACGTTAAAGTTGATACACTCCCCTCGTAAACCTGAAGTGATTCCATATACTCACAATGTTGACTAATTTTTCGACTGTTTAATTGAATGATCAATAATTGTCGTTTTTCATGAAGAAATGTTCGAAGAAGAATAAAAATACGATCTGTATTCGAATTTGATGTTCATGAAAACTTATCTTGGACATCTCCATATTTCATCAATTTTTCTGACAGATGTTCAGCTTCTAAGTGAATTGTCCTGAACGATTAAAGAGTTCTTTTGAGTACAGGATCTCGAATGATGAGCTATCTGCCATAGTTTACATTGCTTCTGGAATATTCTGAAAAAAAACCATCTGATTGGTAAATGATGCTGTTCTAATTGCCCAATATATTATTCATTCTAATTTCCTTCTTGTGAAGAAAACATAGGTCCACTTCATAGAGCACAGCTTCATTGAAATAACGACTGTTGCTTTCTTGAAAAGCATAAATAATTTGGATACCTGCCTAACTCTCAATGGCGACACCCTCCTTTGTAGAGAGGCATTACGAACGCCAAAGTTGATACACTCCCCTCGTAATGATACTTGACGTGATTCCATACACTCACAATATGTCGACTAATTTTTCGACTATTCAATTGAATGATCGATAATTGTCGATTTTCATGAAGAGATGTTCGAAGAAGAATAAAAATACGATCTGTATTTGAATTCGATGTTCATGAAAACATATCTCATCTTATCTTGGACATCTCCATATTCCATCAATCTGCCTGACAGATGCTCAGCTCCTAAATGAATTGTCCTGAACGATTATAGAGTTCTTCCCTAATAACACAAGATGTCCATTGGACATCCGTTTTGTGTCCATTATATGTCCAAGGTGTCCATGGACACATTCTGGACATCCAAAGGATGTCCACAGGCAGCAATCCTATGGATGTCCAGGAAAAGTAATCCATATAGTGTCCATTTCATGTGCTTTCTGATAATGTTCCTTAACACAACGTCCAACTCATGTCCATAAGATAATGTCCAATGGACATCAATTTGCAGTAGTCCATACACAGTCCATATGATGTACATTGTTGCTTTTTCGTCTCGGGTATCATCGAGATCGTTCGGCTCCATCGCTTGCGACAGCTGTGCACAGGGTTAGCGCCGGGGCCGTGAGATGCCGTCCGCCATTTTTGTTG